TGGGCTCTCTGCCTAGCAGGGAGCCTGCTTCTCCTTCTTCCTCTGCCTGCTGCTCCCCCTGCTTATGCTCTCTCTCTCTCAATCTCTGTCGAATGAATAAAATCTTTGGGAATAAAAAGTGGAACTCTTTACAGAATGGAAAGAATCATCCGAAATAAGAACATAAAACTACATTTCATATTTATTTCGTATATTCTGTAATTCTTGAAAACTAAATATTACTAACTCAGTGTATCAGGGCAAAACTTCCCTGTGTGTGTCTAGCAGCCTGAAGAATAAGGAAGCTGTTAACAGCATTTATTTGGTTTTGTTTACTTTTTTTTTTTTTTTTTTTGGAAGGATGGGGAGTCAGAGAAAATATGTTATAGCTTAGTATCACATGCAAATTCATCACTGAACTGATGTATTTTTCTTTTTTCCCTATCTCAACAAAGCACTGTAACATACTGTTTTCCAGTTCAAAGGAAAAATGTTATATAAGTTATTTTTCTTAATGAGTGAATCTTTCCCTGTTAAACACCTACTTAATGTTCTCACTTTCATCCATATTCTCTCCTTTTTTCTCCCTCTCCACTTCATCATTTCTGGAGACTATGGCCCTTAAAAAAAATGGCATGACTTCAGATCTCCTTGAGCACTGAATTCTTAATAATTCAGAACTGCCATCATGAATATTAATTATTTTACCTAAGCTGAAATAAAATCATGCCTTCAAGGCAAGAATAATAATAATAGGAATAATAATAGTAATGACAACATGCCTTTACTGGAGGCACCCACAAAAAGTGCCCCATCAAAATAGGTATATAGAGCTACTGATTTCTACCCTACCTAAGTGGCTTGAAGCAAACTGTCAGATAACACCTCTTTTTTAGTATATTTGCTTCTGGAACTTTGCTATGCCATAACAACTAGATTAGAACTATGTATCTCCAATTTTTAAAATTGCACCGAAAATTACTCTATTTATCATCCTAAGAGACAGTCTGATGAAATATCATAGGAGTTTTCGGATGTCAATCACACAGGAAATACTTATTTCCTTAAATTCTAGAATTTTAAAATACACCAGGGATTTAATAACAAACTTTTCACAGAAGTGAAAAATCACTACACTGATTCTCCTTTCCTTTATTCAAATTATGAATTAGGAAAACATTAATGGAGTTACCACCTCTTCTTTGTCTTTTTGGCCAAAAAGACAAAATTTGAGTTCAGCAATCTATTCCCAAAACACTGGTTAGAAGAAGGAAAAAAAAAAAAAAGGCAGATTTTCTGACAGTTGACATGAAATAAATTATTCTAGACTCCAAAGACAGGTTTTACAAAAACAGCATTTCTCAAGTCCACTAAATCATTTATAAATGGTAAGTTTCTGAAACCACAGTATTCCAGAATTACTCAGAATTCTCAGCTAATCCAACATTCTTACTTTATATTTGATTAAATTTACATCTGGAGATTATCAATGGTTATTCAAAAGCCAGTAATTAACTGGAAGCCACACTTCTGGGCTCAGACCAAGGTGCACTTTCTCTCGCTGTTTTCCTCATTGGGGCTGCATCTAATTACAGTAAGATAAAGAGTCATAACAATAATAACAGTGGCGACACACTAAGTTCCCACACAGTGCCAGCAGTAGGTACATTTATCTCTAATCCTGACAACAATCCAGAAAGGGTGGTATTAATACTATCTTGATTTTTTAAAGAATTTTAAAATTAATTTTTATTCATTTTAATCTAAAGATTAATTTTTTAAACAAAAAATTTTGAAGAATTTTTTAAATCTTTCAAGATTAAAATTGAAAACCACTGAACAGAGTTAAGCATTTTGCCCCAATCACACCTGCTGGGATTTAGATACTGACCCCCTGCTGTGACTGGAACATGCACTCATACTTCTCAGCCTTTGCACTTACAAATTCCTGGTTACTCCAAATATCTAAGGACCACTTTACTTCTTTCAAGTTTCTGCTCAAATATCACCTTATCAGAGTCTTTCCTTCATCAAATTAAAATATATCCTCACATCTCTCTCTCCCCCTGCTTTATTTTCTCCACAGCACTGTCTGCCACTTAGAAAATTATGTTTATCTGTTCACTGTCTACCTTTCTCCAAAAGAAAGTATGCTGTATAAGAACTCTGAAGGACTCATTTTCTATTGCAAATCTGTATTGCCTAAATATTGCACTGCAGATGTGTTTTTTTAACTGAAGCAAAATATAATGGAAAACTTGCCATTTAACTATTTTTTAAGTTTTTTTTTTTTTTTAAGATTTTATTTGTTCATCTGACAGAGAGAGGGAGAGAGAGATCACAAGTAGGCACAGAGGCAGGCAGAAAGAGACAGGGGAAGCAGGCTCCCCGTCAAGCACAGAGCCCGATTTGGGCCTCGATCCCAGGACCCTGAGATCGTGACCTAAGCTGATGGCAGAGGCTTAACCCACTGAGTCACCCAGGTTCCCCATTTTAACCATTTTTAAGTGTATAACTCAATGGCATTAATTACAATCACAATGTGTGCAACCATCACCACTACCTATTGTCAAACCTTTTCTTCACTCCAAGTAGAAATTTTTTAACCATTGAGGAAAAACTCCCCATTCCCCCACACCAACCCAGGCTCTTGGTAATCTCTCATCTACTTTGTCTCTGTGAATTTGCCTATTCCACATATTCATATAGGTGGAATCACACAATAGTTGTCCTTTTGTGTTTGGCTTCTCTCACTTAGCATAACATTTCCAAGTTCATCCATGATGTAGCATGTATCAGAACTTCATTCCTTTTTATGGCTGAGCAATATTCCATGATATGACTATAGCACATTCTTTATCTATTCATCTGCTAATGGACACTTGGGTTCTTGCCACCTTTTGGCTATTATAAATGAGGTAGTCCCCCCTTGTGTGTGATTTTGCTTTCCATGGTTTCAGACGCCTACTGTCAACCATGGTCCAGAAGCGGATGATCCTCCTTCTGACGTACTGTCAGAAGGTTAACAGTAGCCTAAGGCTATACTGCGGTACCTACACCATTCACCTCACTTCAATTCATCATGTATGCCTTTTATCATCTCACATCATCACAAGAAGAGTAAGCACTGTACAATATTTTCAGAGAAAGAAACCACATTCACATTAATTTTATTACAGTATATTACCATAAATGTTCTATTATTGATTGTTACTAATCTCCTGCTGTGCCTAATTTATAAATTAAACTTATTATGACAGGTGTGTATATATAGGAAGAACAATGTATATAGGGTTCAGTACTATCCACAGTTTCAGGCTTCCAGTGGGGGTCCTAGAACCTGTCCCCACAGATAAAGGGGGGAACTGCTGCAATGCTCCAACCAAACACTCGTGTACAAATATCTGTTTGAATTCTTGTTTTCAATTATTTTGTCTGTATATCTATTAGTGGGGTTGCTAGGTCATACCATAATTCTAAGAAGAAACGTCCAACTGTTTTCCACAGTGGCTGTATCATTTTACACCGAATGGATGTTAACACCTTTGTCAAAAATCAACTGCCCACAGATATATGAGTTTACTTCTCGATCCTTAACTCTATTCTGTTGGTATACATATCTATCTTTATAACAGTCCCACAGTATTGATTACAGTATCTTTGTGCTGAGTTTTGAAATCAGGAAGTGTGAGTCCTCTGACTCTGTTATTCTTTTCCTAGATTGTGCAGGGTCCCTTGAAACGCTCAATGAATTTGAGTCGGCCTTTCCATTTCTAAAGTCTGATAGAATCTTGATAGGGATATTACACTAAATCTACAAGTCACATTGGTTGGTACTGATAGCTTAACAATATTGTCTTCCTACCCAAGAATACAGATGTCGTTCACTTATTTAGGTCTTATTTAATTTCTTTTAGCAATGTTTTTTAACTTTCAGTGTAGAAATCCTTCACCTCATTGGTTACATATACTCATAGGTATATTATTCCTTCAGATGCTAACACACATAGAATTGTTTTCATAGCTTCCTTTCCAGACCACTCATTATGGGTAAATAGTAACAACGGATTTTTACGTGTTCACTTAGTACCCTCCAATGCTGCTGAATTCATTTATTAAACTTAGCGGCTTTCTTTTGGATTATCTGGGATCTACAAATACAGAATCATGTCATATGAAAATAGAGAGAGTCTTACCTCTCCCTTTAAAATTAGGTATCTTTTATTTCATTTTCTTATATAACTGCTCTGGCTAGAACTTTCAGCGGAATGTTGAAAAGCAGTGGTAAAGTAAGCATCCTTGTCTTGTTCCTAATCTTAGTGAGGAGCTTTGAGTTGTTCACCACTGAGTTTGATGTTACCTGTGAGTTTCTCATAATTTCCCTATGTTGTGTCGAGGAAGTTTCCTTATGTTCCTAGTTTCCCAAGTGTTTTGATTACAAAAGAGTACAGGATTTTATCAAATGCCTTTTGTGTATCAGTTAAGATGACCATCTGTTTCTTCCCTTTTTCTATTAATGTGATATGTTACATGGACTGATTTTTTTATGCTGAACCAAACCGTACTCCTGGGACTTTGTCATAGTGTCTGCTCCTTTTAATCTGCTGTTGGCTCAGTTTGTTAGCATTTTGTTGAATTTAACAGGCATGTATTTTAAAACAGTTATCAGAAAATAATATAAAAATACAGTTATAGCTTATATATTTTTTAGTTATTAAGAATTATTTTTTAATTGAGGGCAAAATGTACATATCCTTAAGACATTCTGTTAAATATTAAATATTAAAATGAAGTGAAAGAAAAAATTGTCCCTTTTTATGTTAGTGTTAAGTTTTATAATCTCTCTGGAATGTTACAATTTTAAAACTATTTCTGAAGTATCCTTTTTATATACCTGCAAATACATAATGAATCTGTAAAACAAAAGAAAATAAAACAAAAAAAAGATCTACAGAATGAATATAACATCAATAATTTTAAATTATACTCCTAAAACAAAAAGTAACATGAAAATAATTTACCCCTTCATAGAAAACTTTTGCACAGTCCTTTGCTAATTTTCCAAAAAATAATACATTGATGGTGTTGATCTCTGAATTTGAATTTTCTTGTTCTATAGAGGAAAAAACACATACAGAAAAACACTAATTAGAGCAGTTTTACACACATAAGAGAACTGACTGATAACTACATTCTAAAAACTGTAGTTACTTCAAAATATAATTATGAAGAATAAGTAAAATTTTTATAATTCACTTTTAATTTAATACCTTAAGTAATGCAAAGATAATGCAGAGAATACTATTACGTACTAAAACCAAAATTATAACAAGATTCAACTAGAATACATTTTAAAAATTTCTATAAATATGACATTAACAGCATAAAATATCCACATTCTATTTATTTTCCATGTTTATAATAAAAAGAAATTGAGTGTGGAAATTATTCAATTTTTACACTATATAACATATCACCCCCCAAATAGTTCATTTTCTGAACTTCCAGCAATCTACAGTGTCAGCACATTAAGTTTTAATATAGATAAGTGTGATTTTCTCCTCCAGCACACACAAATTAAAGAGTAAAAGAATAGTGTATGTGTAAAGACCAAACTATCTATGATTTCGAAAATGAAACTTAATTGGGAAAAAAAAGAATTTTCACAATTTTCACTCTCCAGGGATCACCTTCTACAACCAGAGCAGCAGAGCCAAATGCTAAGACTCAATTATATCATCTGAGGAAAGTCTCATTCATATCAGCTTTCAAATATTCAACTACTCCAAGAAACTGCCTTCGTATCAGATTTTTATGCATCTATAGGAGTATATGAAAGATCTTTTCCAAAATGATATCCTTTTTTTTGTGACTTAGAATTCTTGAATCTGCTACTCTGTCAGGTCTGTTGGCATGCAGCAGTGAAACAACTGCCTCACAGCTGCCTACTGCCTCCCTTCACTTACCTCTTCAACTCCTCAAAACAAGTGTATACATAAACTGAAACACTAATGTGTATCAAATATAAAAACACAATGATTTCTAACACTGTTAATATCTTAAACGACCTATCAGATGTCTGTGTCTGGCCATGATGGACTAATAGAGACCGGGTTTATTCTCCAGTCTTAAAATGACTAGAAAGCTAAGGAAAAATATATGAAACAACAGTTTTCAGGTACCAGACAACAGGAAGTGCAGGAAAGTGTTCTGAGAAGGAAAATAAGGCAATACCCCTGGCTTACTTCCTGAAGAATTTCCACGCAGCAGAAAATGGAGTTAAAATGCAACAAAGCTCAGCAGCCTTCACCAAATTCCGAAGAGTTCAGATACGAGGACAGCAAGGTGGCTAGAATTTGCAGGGCAGAGTGCCAAAAACAGCAGCACGGATAGAGAGTGCTCTGCACCCTGAGATGGGTCCTTCAGGTCTTTGCCTGAATACTTATCTCCAAGTATGTGGAAGATAAGTACCTCATGAAGAGAAAGAACCACATGAAAGGAAAAGGCAGAACAATTCTGAGATACACAGGGCTAGGAATTGTTCTGGTTCCAAGCACACAGAATGGAATCCTCATACACAAGGCAGAGAGCAGAATTGTCAGAAGGGTATTTCCTTAGTGATAAGGCCAAATTAGTCTGAAAATAAAGGCTGTTCTATACCCACCCAACAAAGCGAATCAAACTGATTCCAGGAAAATTAAATGTATCCCAAAATAAAGACAAGTAATATTTAAAGGATGGATAACAAATAAATCCAACATGATAATATAAAATTCTAAATGTTTGGTGTCCAGTAAAAAAAATTACCAGCCATGAACATGATTAGGAGAAATGGAAGATATTTTAAAAATCTCAAAATGAACTTTCGAAGTTGAAAAATATAGTATTAGAAGTTAATAGTACATTGAGTGGAAATAATAGCAGATTAACAAAAAATAAAATGTTACAGAAAACTAAAAAACAGAAAAGAATCAATGAAAAGAAAAGGTGATTTTAAATATCAATAAAATAAATATCTAGCCAAAATGATCAGGGGAAAAATGAGAAAGTAGTCACAAATTATCAAATAAATGAAACAGGACATCACTATAAGTCCTACCAACATTAAAAGTATATCAAAAATATATTATGAATAATATATTTATTATTATATTAAATATAATTATTTAAGTTATTAAATAATTATTAATTATAATTATTAAATAATATAATAAATATAGTATTTATAATATTATTATATTAAATATAAATAATATATTTATACCAATATTGTTGACAACTAAGATGAAATAGACAAATTCCTTCAGAAACAAACTACTGAAGCTTACTCAAGGAAAAAAGAAAAAAAAGAAAAGCCCTATTAATAAATAAATACACTGAACTTAGGGTTTAGAACTTTCCCATAAAGAAATTTCCAGGCACAGTTGGCTTCACTGATGAATTCTACAAACATTTAAGGAAGAAATAAAAGCAATTACAGATAAACTCTTCCAGAAAATAGAAGAGAAGGAGCCACTTAACAGCTCTTTCCAGGAAGATAGCATTACGCTGATACTAAACTCAAAATCATTACAAGAAAAGAAAGACATGGAACAACATCCTTCATAAACTTAGATGTAAAAATCCTTAATTAAGTATTTACAAATTAAACCTAACAATATATCAAAAGAATGATTCACCAGGCCTACTATCTTATTATGCTTTATTTTTCTTCAGACCACATTTCTATCTAATACTACATATGTAATTATTTATTGAATTTATGTACCCCCCTAAAATGTAAACTTCATGAAGGCAAGGGCTTTATTTTGGTCGCTGCTGTATCTCCCATACCTAGAACAGTGTCTAATATATAACTGGTTTTCAGTAGTTAAAGTATGTTGTAATTCAAAGTCTGTTTCCCACTGATTGCTGCAGGCCATTCTTCAGTCCAATTTCACGACTCGGATGAGACCTATTCTGGTCCTCAAATACTCCATGGCAGCTCTTCCTAGCCTACCAGGATTATTTCACGGTTACTAGGAAGAAGGCATAATCTCATATAACTATACCTAGATAACAAATAACATGCTGAAATCATTGTTTTAAGTTTGCTAAGCTGTTTAGGTCACACTAGTGAAACTACAAGCACGGGGACCAGTTAGCTATTTTAACAGTTTAGATGTGAGATTAAAGGAATCTGAAATAAAATAGAAGAAATGGGTGAGGGGAAAGAGGATAGATGGTATAGAAAAATTTATTTTATTCTATAGTTTTTTACACTACTGTATATTTATTACCCATTAGAAATCATTTCTGTGCTCATGCGTGTACACATATATATTAAATTATCCATTTGTAGATTATAAGGTTAAAAAAAAAGGTTAAGCAGAAATTGTCTTATTACACTGTATACCTTGTAGTGCAATCTTCAAAACAGCTGTTCTGTTTCCACCATAAGTTAAAGAAGAAATAAGTGAGAGTTTTCCCTAAAATGAGAGAAAAATGATTATACAGAAAACCCAAGAGCTTATTATAATACCAAGAGATAAGTTAAAATTGGAAAAACTATTTTAAAAGCAATAAACTTTTATTTTTCCAAAAAAAATCGAAGTACTATGTTCAAGTCACCATATTTAAGAAATGAAAGTGATTTTACTGAAGAAATTTCAGAAGGCCTAATTATTTAGGGTCAAACTTAATTTTTTAAACAATCTTATTAGTTAAATATTATACAATTCCTCATTTTACAGATAAAGATGAGCTAGCTCGACTTCAGCTTCCTTTTAACCCCCATAAGGCTGTTCTCTACAGAAGAAAAATGAAGAGTTTGCTCCTAGAAAGAAATAAACACTAATTTAAAGAATTAAAAAATGCAAAATGGTAATGTCATAAATGAGGGCAGTGCAGACAAAGCAAGGAACTAAAGCATACAGAGTTTAGTCCTCATTCTTCTATAACTAACAAAGTCTGTCACCTTAAAAAAGCTATTTAATCACAGTCTCTCAGATAAAATGAAGTATTTAATGTAGGTAGTTTCTATACTTTCTTCTGGCTCTAAAATTTAACGATCCTATGAATAAAATACATTATAGGTCTCTTTGAAAACTTCCACGTAGAAATAAAATGTATTTAATAAAATTTAGAAATGGATCTCTGGGGTGCCTGGGTGGCTCAGTCAGTTAAGCGGCTGCCTTCGGCTCAGGTCATAATCCCAGGGTCCTGTTAGCGGAGAGCCTGCTTCTCCCTCTCCTTCTGTCTGCTGCTCTGCCTACTTGTGCTCTCTCTTTTTCTCTGTCAAATAAATAAATTCTTTTAAAAAAATAAAAAATAAAAATGGATCTCTAATACATATCTCCCACACTAATATTCCAGATTTTGATATAACCAGCAACAACAAAAACCTACATTCCTATACCAATTTTACTTATAAACTAGGAATTAAAAAAAAATTAAAATAAGGCTATCAGTCACACATGATTCAGTCAGAAGTAAAAACAGTTCCACTTGGAGGTAGAATGCTGGAAAGTACAACAAAAGGTTGGACAATGTACAAATTTCAACCTTTTTTTGACCTGCCAGAGAACTAAAATCAAAAGACAACCAACTAACCAGAAATCTAGGAAAAGAGAAGTATCTCCACTAAGAGAGGGGCAACAGTGAGTTGAGGTCACAAGGTAACCAACTAATCAGAAATTTAAAGAAAGGGAAGATCTTCAAGGAGAGATGGGTGGCAAGCAGTTGCTCACCTGAAGTAAATGGCAAATGCTGCCTGACATCTGTCAGAAAATTCATCTGACATTTTAACAAGTTGCTAAAGGCTAAGTGTGGGCTACGGAGAAGACCTGGAACCTGTGGGAGCTGCAAACACAAGTGGGAATTCACACCCATTTATAAGCTCTTCTCCAAAAATCTGATGACGAAGGTCAGGCCAGGAGTCAGAGTAAGGATGGTAGCAGTTATTGTAGGAAACCCTGCCTGGGTTCCCCATCTCCCTACCCCATATTTCTCTCAAAACAAAGTCCTTAAACTGCTTAGGAGGGCAAAGTTCTTAAACTCCTAGGAGGACAAAAGCTATGACTCTCGTTAGAGCTTTCGTGAACACGTACTGCAGAAAAAAAACACTCTCTTCTCTTCTAGGGATAAGGAAAAAGGGGTATACAGCTGTGAGCACCAGACCTACAGCTAGGGACAGGGCAGAATCACTAGCAGACCTCACCTGCAAGACCCAAGTCACCTTGCCTGAGTGACCTTGCCTGACAACACCAAGACTAAATCAAAACAAAGGACATCCACTTATCACAAGATTAATTAACATGATGTACTACTGGGACAGAGGCACAAGAGCTGGGAGAGAAACCAGCAGAAATTAAGCACAAGGAAAAGACCTAACTAAAGACAATGAGAAACCCCCTCTGGCCAACCAAACTTCCTTCTAAATACAAAGAAATTCTAAAGGAATTTAAAGCTTATAGCACACTGAAGTAACCAAAATAACAAAGCCAAAACCTCACTCAACTTCTAACTAGATTAACTCAACACACCACACTAAAGGCCTCTGTAGAAAGACCCGCACATTCCCAGGAATAAAAAACTACTGCCTTTGGTTCCCGCTGCCCGTGACAGGAGGTACAGGCTACAACAACAAATTATGAGGCATATAAAAACACAGGAAAGGACACACTATCAAGACACAAAGTAATCAAGAGAACTTTGATCAGATTAAATTAATCAAAATGAACTTAAAACGGGTGCTTTTGTTACTCTTCCACTTGATCCACCTGGATGAAAGCTCTAAGTGAGAGTTCAGAATGACTGAAAATGACATTCTGCTTTCTGGAATGGGACACACAGATTTTATAACAATGGAGAGCCAAAAACTCAGGCACCTAGGGAGAGAGGCCCAGCACCTGGGGAGGAGCCCCCAAACCTGGAAAAGGTACTCCTCAAACATCAAGAGAAAAAAGTGGAAGTTGAACTAAACAATAAGCTTCGGAAGTTTAAGGATGACTGAATAGTGAGAGACTTCCAGGGAGATTTATGTCCTCAGAGTTATGTGTTTACATTTCAATAAGGGATGGAGAAACCCTTGAGACAGTTCTTTACATTCTCAATGATGTATTTACATTCAGGAGATGAGGTTTCTGTCCTGTCTCTCAGGAGGAGAGGGTAAAGCTGGATAGCTGTCCTACATAAACTCCCAGATTCATAATTTCAAGGTTCCTTTTCTACAGTCCAAGAAATCCAATTTTCACCCACAGGAAGACTTTTGATCCTCACCACATTGCCGTGAATGAGGAAGATGGGGGATAGAAAACTGAGTCATTGCTGAGAGTAAAAATTATAGTTGGCCTATACTCCAGAAATCTCATTTTAGCTTTCAGGATAAAAGTGAATATTAGATATTAAATGTATCACCCCCCCATTTTTTTTTTAAAGATTTCATTTATTTGACAGAGAGAGACACAGAGAGAGAGGGAACACAAGCAGGGGAAGTGGGAGAGGTAGAAGCAGGCTCCCTGCTGAGCAAGGAACCCAATGTGGGGCTCGATCCCATGGACCCCAGGACCATGACCTGAGCCTAAAGCAGACACTATTAAGTGATACGGGACACCTGACAACCCAGGTGTCCCGTATCACCCCAAATTATAAGAAGGAATACTAAGCAAATTCATCTCTGGCTGTACTACAAGAAATGCTAATGGATATTTTTCAAGATGAAGGGAAACTTGGGTCTACTGGAAAAAATAAAACATCAGAAATAGTAAATATGTCAGTCAGTATAAAAGACTATATTTTTGTCTTCTCTTAATTTCCTTAAAAGACAATTTCCCATTAAAAAGCAAGAGCTAACATTGTAAGGTGGAAGTTTATAATACACATATAAACAGATATATCCTAACAGCTCAAGGAACAGGGGAGTAGGAAATGGAATTTTAATGCTGTAAAATTCTTTTATTTGTCAAGTGAGAAGAATGAAGCAGAACATGAGAAATAAAAAGTGTCATGTGAAAAGTGTACAATATTAACTCTAAGTAAGTTTTAATAAGAATGTATATTGTTAGTACTAGATTAACCATTAATAAGGCAGGTGCTGTTCAAACCAACAAAGAAAATAGAATAGAATGGGAAACAATATTTAACAGAACCCAGAGAACTCAGGAAGGAATGAAAGAGGATCACAGGAAGGACAAATGGAAATCAAAGAGCAAGAGAGTATTACCTAAACACCATTATAACAATTACTTTACATATAAATTAAGCACTCCAAATAAATGGTGAGTGTAAGGGCCTGTTTAGCCAGAGCGGCTCCATCCGGTAAAACAGTGATTTTGTTGGATTGACAGACTTGATTAAAAAGCATGATCTAATGAATGCTATCTAAGGGATGCTTAAAATATAAAAACATAAATTAAAAAATAAAAGATATACCAGCCAAACAGTTAATCTAAGAATGCTGGCATGGCTATATTACCAGATAAAACAGATGCTCAAAGAGTTACCAGAGATAGAGACAGCTGATAATGACAAAAGGATACATTCATCAAAAAGAAATGACAATCCAAAATACATAGACACTTAATAAAAAAGCTTCAAAACAGATGAATAATGATATAACTAAAGGAAGAAACAGACAAATCCACAATCATACCTGGTATTAACACCTCTCTCTCAGTAATTGATAGAACAAGGAGAAATAAAATCAGTACAAATAGAGAAGACCTGAAAACACAATCATACAAGTTTATACCATTAACATTCACAGACCAACAGACCAGACAATTGCTGAAAACACATTGTTATCAACTATAGGAATGTTCAGGAAGGCAAACCACATGTGACCTATTCAATTAAGTCTTAATAAACTTCAAAAAAACTGAAATCTTGCAGAAATTACAAATCAGTAACAATAACATATTTAGACAGATCCCTGTGTTATTAACTGTCCCCAATGTTATTAACCCTTTAATCTTACATCCTCTTTAAATGCATCCCTTCTTCCTCTTCTTTCCTTTACAACAAAATGTATTCTTTAATATGAAATGGAATATTTAAAGTGAGAAATCATAATTAGTTTGTTATTGATAGTTTACAACAACTATATTTACTTCACCACTTGTTATTAATAACCTTGTGTAAATTTTTAGGACTGCTGACAAGTTTGAAATAATTTCTATTAAGTTTCTATCCTATATAAGCCTAAGATTTGTAACAACTGTCCTTGCAGTAGCTTGATTCCATTGTTTCGGTACCTATTTTTATCCAATAACTATACATCCCATGCTAGGTTTAACAGTATATATTCATACCCTCCTACAACTTCTGACTCTGTACTTTTCTTCTATACTACCCAGGGAGTGGGAGTGTTCCTGGAGAACATTTCTTACACCAGGAGAGCTGGTATATCTGGCTATAAATGGAACTAACTGCAAAGCACACAAATACAACTCATTAAACCTATTCCACAAGTCAACTTCCCCCTACCTACATGTTCCAAAAATGTTCTCAGCCATTCCAATGTCACTTGATAAGACAGGAAATGGGATGGAGGGGGAAGTCAAAATGGAAAGAGACAGCAATCTTAACCATTTTAGGTTAAAACATTCCACTTGAGTATATTTTACAAATATGAAAATGTAAATTCGTTTCTAAGACTCCTAACATGGTATTGGGCTTGTTCAAGTAAAGCCTTGGAAGCTTGGACTTCACTAATTGCAAAATCATCCTGTCTCTGGTGAATGAGATTATGATATATTATTTTCACTGAAAACTATGAGATTAGGTAAATTCCTTGTCCAAAGGCATGTTAATGATACCATTATACTGACCACAGTAATCAGCACTTACTGAATACTTAGAATTCATTAAGTACTTTACATTTAATCCCCATTGCATTTCTATGAAGTAGGTTCTATTACAATTCCTAGCTTACAAATGGAAAAGATAAGGCACAGGCAGATAAAATTACTTTCCCAATTACATCACTAGTAAATGGTGGGTCTATGCTTGAATCCAACCAGCCTGGAAGTCTCCAGGGCTTCCACTCCTTTTCAGGGTGCTAAACTGCTATAGGATAAGTTTGTGAACACGGTCTATGAGTTTTGAGTGTGAGTGTACTGGGAGGAAAAGGGGACAGGGTGAGGAAAGAATAGAAGAGGAAAGGAAATGCAGATAAATTTTTAAAAATGTAATGTGTTTTATTTCACTTTAGTGCAGTAGTTGTGAAGCTGACTTTAGTATAAAAGCCAGTCACTGTTAACCAAATGCAAAACTGACTCAGCTAAAATTAAAAAACTTTCTGTTCCTATTACAGGACTATGACTTCGATAATCAAAATAACTAAATACCACAACATACTCCAACTCCTTGAAAGACATTTCCTGCTTTCACTTTCTCAACCAACATTGAATCCTCAAACCAATAAAAGCCAACCCAGCAACATCAGTCTTTCCAAGTGACCAGTACTTTCCTGATTATTAAATCTGACAGATACTGTTTTTGCACGTTTAGCAGCAACATAATGCTTTGGTTAGTAGCTAAGACAATGAAAATTCAAATCACAGCTCAGCCACTTACTAGCTAACCTTGGATCTAACCTTGGATGAATTACTTAACCTGTATCTGTGTTCCCAACTATAATATGGGAATAATAGTATCAATTTACAGGGTTCTTTCAAGACTTAAAAGAGGGAACATTGTAAATCACTTGAGTGTGTGTACCAGAAAGCAATTTATCTAAGAGTTACTACTTGTGAGTTACTAGTTATGATACTACTCCTTGAATCTTACCTTACTAAGTATACAAAACACCACTCTCTCCTGGTTTTTCTCCTACGCCTCTGGATTATCTATCTCTTATTCATGCTACTTTCTTAATATTGACATCCTTCAACACATCTTCTCATTCTGTTCTTTGGCCCAAATCTCCCTGAAGAGGAACCCTTTTTGCTCCAGAACCCCAAATCTATTTGCCTACAGGACATTACTACCTGGATACATCTAATAACCTCTGAAAGATATCCAAAACCAAACTCATTATCTTTCTTCCTAAATGTATGCCTATTATTCTCCCAGGGTTGACAGGACTTAAAACCAGGGAAATTTCCTGAACTCCTTTTTAACCTCTCTCATCTACTCATCTTCCAAGATCTATTGATTCTGCTTGTCAGTTCCAAAGCAAGAATGTCTAAATTCTAACACCAGCTCTACTACTTATTAAATGCATGTTAAGCCAATTATTTAACCTTTTAGAAATGCAGTCTCCTCACAGCCCAAGAATAATAGTACCCAATCCATACGGTTTTGTGATGATTAAATGAGTTGATATACATAAAGCACTACCAAGTTCCTAAAAGGGCGTAATGTTAAATTTTGTTGTTGTTATTATTTCATTACTATTTTGTCTGTCTCCATCCCATCATCTCCTCTTGCCCCTGGTTCAGACCAACATCAACTCTAAACTAAATTACTGCAACTCTGTTGCCCTTTCTGATATACTCTTCACCCAAAAGACAGAGTAATCTAAACTCAAAGTAAATCATGTCTTTGTCCTGCTTAAAATCTATTAAGGGTCTCCCACATCCAAATTCTTCAACATGCACTTAAGGGCTGCTTACACCCAAAATGAAAGGTATAATCTCAGTCATCCTTTAAGTTCCAGCTCCATTTTCCTGACCTAACTTGTCAGAACCAAAGGTTCTCTCCTACCAACCTATTAATTATAAACAGAGATTAAGTAAACTATCCAAACCCAAAAGAATTCAGTCCCCTTTAGTTCAAGGATCATATTCATTCATCTTTGTACCCTCAGAATTTATTCCACTGTATCACAGAAGAATTCAATAAATGTTTGCTAAATGAACACTAAATAATTAAGAATAACAGCACCAAATAATGACATTGTGACACACATAAAACTGTTCCTAAAACAACTCTTAGAAATAAGCTAAACATAAAAATAAGCATTCCTTTCAGAAGAAAAAAGCATTCTGAGTGATGAAAATTCTTACCTGGATGTATTTTTTGCTATAATCACAACCTGGCTGTAGAGAACTGATATCTACTTTGTTTAATTCACTTAGCAGCTCAACTTCAGGCACTCCATTGACTTCTTTTATTAATTCAAGTGGCATATCAGCTCTGTTTCAAAATGTTGTCCAAAGCAAATTCAACTAGGAAATGGACAGCTTGCTGCTGAAAACACAAAGACCAATGTTTTACCCAAAGTATAGTCAGTAGTTTTAAGTTTCTTTGACTTAGTTTTGCTTTTTCTTTCCTTTAAGTTAGTAATCACTCTTGGGGGTGGAGTGGATTACTCTGTAATTTTATTACAAGGGTTATTATACGCCTTCCCCTAAGACACTGAAACTCAAGCCTTTTCTATTTAGTTTTCTATTTAAAGAAGTACCTCTAAAAGCCAGTTTTTGGACCTGTGAAAACTGCACTGACAATGTCCTTTGGCAAAACTATGCTTTAAAATGTACTAGCTACTGGGGAAGGGGAGGGGGATTGAAAAATTTGGTTTTCTTTTTTCATCCCTTAGCAGTTGTAATATTGTGTACTCAAATTGGGCACCTGAGACGCCTGGGTGGCTCAGTGGGTTAAAGCCTCTGCCTTCAGCTCAGGTCATGATCTCAGGGTCCTGGGATCCAGCCCGGCATTGGGCTCACTGCTCGGCAGGGAGCCTGCTTCCTCCTCTCTCTCTGCCTACTTGTGATCTCTGTCAAATAAATAAATAAAATCTTAAAAAAAAAAATTGGGCACCAAAAGGTTATTACTCCAAAATATATGTTACCTCCTGCCTCCAGCCCCTATACACTCTTAAGGACTATTAAACTGATACTAACTTGTGCTTTGTAGTTTCAAACCTATTTCTCAAACGTCTTGAGTGAGACACGCACCAGAGCCAAAACTTAATTTTAATATGTGCGCATCAACCTTCCCCAAGCCCCTGGAGCTCTGTGAGGGCGAGGACTTAGACTAACTCAACTCAGAGGCTCACAAAACGTCAAGCAAGATACTGAACACAGCCCTCTCACGCTAAAGACAATTATGACGGGTCTTTTTGCAATAACGACACCAAATTTTGATCTAAACTAAACCAGTTTTTTGTTTTGTTTCAGCATACCCGCTCACAAACCGAAAGACTTCACACCCATCCAACGAACTCCACAACGACGTAGAAATTCACTCACCTACGCACTAAAGAAAAACAAGGAAGTCTAGAAGGGCGCGCAAGTGACATCACACGCATGCGGCGGCTCAGTTCTCACGCATGCGTATACGGTCTCTAGGGCTGAACTTACTGCTCCCAGGCCCGCGGAGGACGAACTGCATGCATGATGGTTCCTAGGCCTAAGGTATCCTGGAAGTTTCGCATTTTACGTAGATGGTGCGAGCCAGGGGGAGGACGGGTCCTTAGTAGAGTATCCGCCAGGAATTTTCGTCCCGCCGCCGGGCAGTCTTCTACGGTCCAGGCTGGAGACCCTAGCAGGGGAAGCGGGGACGGCCCGCGGGGCGATTCATAAATCCTGTAACCAATAAAAACTCTGTTCCAAACCGGGGGCGGGATTTGAGATTAGAAGCTCCTGTGGGCAGGGCACTTCCTGTGCCCCCCCCCCCCCCCCGTTTTCCCTGCCCTTAATACGCTTAGGCTGTGGACAAATATGTTTAAATGCCAAGGGAAAAGAATAAGGAGAAGTTGAACATCTGTTGAGAGAAGATACATAACTCATGATAGGAGGTGAAATGAAAGTGGCCAGAATCCGGAGCCAAGGTGGAGGATTTCATTTAGGGAGAGAAAGCACAGTATTTCTGAGTTGGATGAGACAATAAGAACTAGAAGATGATCTAAGCCTTACTTAGCATCGTTTTTTTCAAATGGACAGTTCAGCTCCCGAGCTCAGCTTCTTGTCCCCGCTGATTTGTGCACGGTATATGAATAGAAGGGCGTGAGGGGAAAGAGAAGGTGGGCTAACAGAATGCTTCCTGCTTAAAAAATAGTTACTTTAAACATAGCTATTTCCTCCTGCACATATGTATCTACAGCGGATGTCTTAGTCCAGATTAGCCTTGGAAATATTTATGCAATTATTTATTACATCCTGTCTTTGCATTGAGGTGGGTTTCACTTTTATTAAATGATCGGAAATATAAATAGGAAATTAGCAAAAGATTCACAGTTAATAATACGTCTTGTTAATTATACCCCCAAGCCATAGTTCTATAAACCAATGAAGACGTTAATCCAATCTATCTAAAAATGCATTGCTCATTGATTAAGTTATTTCTTCGTAAAATCTGGGCGCATCTGGGCGACTGCGTCTTAGGTAGAAAAAACGGAAGGCACAGGAAGTGCCCTGCCCACAGGAGCTTCTAATCTCAAATCCCGCCCGGGTTTGGAACAGAGTTTTTATTGGTTACAGGATTTATGAATCGCCCAGCGGGCCGCCCCCGCTTCCCCTGCCCGCACCTCCAGCCTGGACCTTAGGAGACTGACTCTGAGCCTCCAGGCACCCTCCCGCCCCCAGTCCAAAGTTTTATAGTCCAATTCAAACAAAACAGGTAAGGTACTTTCTCTGCAGCGGACCCTCTGGCTCTATTTCAAAATGGCTGCAGTCGTGTCAATTTTTCATACCACAATGTGAAAGGCTCAATTTTTAAAAGTTAAAATGAGATTCTCACTAATAAATAATGAGCACTAAAAGTCAATAAGTATTTTTTTTTTAAGATTTTATTTATTTATTTGAGAGAGAGAGAGAGAGCATGAGAGCTGAGAAGGTCAGAGGAAGAAGCGGACTCCCTATGGAGCTGGGAGCCTGATTCGGGACTCAATCCCAGAACTCCAGGATCATGACCTGAGCTGAAGGTAGTCGCTTAACCAACTGAGCCACCCAGGTGCCTGATAAGTATTTTTATTAATAAAAACATAAATATAAAGATATGGTGCTGTTTATAAGTTATTAAGCAGAGATAAAAGGAATTAATCTGCATATTTCTGGTACTTCTGTAACGGAGACCAAGCTCTTGTTCACCGCACAGTAGGCCTGTCAAGAGGAAAGATGTTGGGTAAGGAAAGCAACTTTATTTGGAAAGCCAGCAAACTGAGGAGATGTGGACAATCATCCCAAACAACCATCTTCCCTAGTATGAAATTCAAGTTTCTTTTATGTTAGCAAAAGGAGGAAGTCAGGGGGAGGTTGGAGTCAAAATGATTACTGACCTCTCTAGACATCTCAGGAAGCTTGTATAACTTCTTTGTCTTTGGTCAGTTGATCTTTACATACAGGAATCTGGTCATGCCATTTCTTAAACATAGCATAGTCAATTCTATATGTATTTCCTTATCCTTGACTGGGATAGATTTGGGGTAAAAATCAATTTTTATTAATCTTAGTTGTAGCATGTCTATGTGCTGGGCTAAGCAGAAGTTTCTAAGCTAGAGGTCACAGCATCAAAAGAAACAAGCAATATGGAGTCAGACATGCTAATTTTCTCCCTGATACACTTCTCTCTTGTTAGCATTTTTACATTGCTCTTTACTATTTACTTTTTAACCTGAAACTCTGAATTGAATTTCCTAGTCACCCAGTACTTCAAATTTATTTTCTTGGCAATAATTGCTGCATCATTAGCCCATTACTATTGTGATTTACAATCTTCCTGCAAGCTGTTGTTGGCACGTTGCATCCCTAGAGTTTGACAATATCATCTTACATTATCTGAGATTCCCTAGCAGATTTCCTAGCTAGGTGACATTGGTTAGAGTTCATTTCCTTATAACCTAAGGGAATTTTTGTCCAACCCTATTGAACATCTAGATCAATTTATAAAATCCTATTTCAATAAAGCATCAAATTTTTATATATTTGAAACAAGATAATTCAGACATAAATTATAGCAAATTTATGTTTAAATTAATAAATTTAAATGATGAGATCTATAATCACTTAGTGCATATTAGGAAGGTAGCATAACAGGGAATCTAAATGTGCAAAGCAAGGCCTGGACTAAGCAAGAAGGGCCTAGATTTTCATATGAGGAGGAAAGGGTCATTCTCCTGTTTTGGATCCTGCCACATGGCACCTAGTGACTCATACTGAGTGAAAGGGTTAAGATAGGCTGACTCCACAGAGATAGCCTTCTGTTGAGTTATACTAATGATATATGTTGAGATGGAAAACAAAACCTCCATTCAAAAAAGTTAACATGAGTATTAATTCAGAAAAAGATTCTCTGACAAGTTGGCTTATAGAACAAAACCAAGACTTGCAGGTGCCTATGTGTGGGAAGAACCATGTTGCCTAAAAATATGGTTGGTTTTTCAGGTTTCTCTGTAGAGGTGAAGAAGAGAGAAATTAAAGAGGAACCATCAAAAAACTAGATGGTGTGTACTCTCTGGTGCTTGTACTGTCTTCCATTCACAAATTAAAAAAAAAACCAAAAAAACAAAAACTTTACTAGAGTAAAGTTACTGAGCTCACAGTAAGGAAGCAAGGAGCTTTGTTCATGTTCATATTGATACCAGTATAACCGAGGCAGCACACAGAAGAGATGAAATATAAGAGGAAAAGACTTGCTGGAAATTAACAAACATGAAGGTAAATTAGAAGATCTTTCAACTTCTTAGCACTGTAAAAGTAGGGGTTTATGTCTAGAGTTTAGAGTGCCTCTTTTTAACATGCCCTATATTTTATACCATGAGGATATGTTCTGGAAAATCCTGCAGTAACACTCACATATAGAACCTCATTTCTATGTAATCTTAGAATAAAATATTGCACTGATGGCTTGTTTGTTTTGGAAAGTCAGTCATCTAAAAGTTGGAGAGCACCATAGCAGGTAGCTATTTATCTGCCCAATATTTTTTCTCTTTTTTTCCTTTCTTTATTGAGTGACCCAAAATAGGAACATTTTTAAAGCCTTTATAATGAAAGATTTTAAGTAATGGAAAATTGATTAGAAGGTTGCATGTTTTTTAAATTCATCATGGTTATTTGGAATAATAGAGAACCATTTGCTTTAGGTTCAAAATGCATTTTTAACACAAAAAGACATTTCCTAACTTTGTCAGATCTTCTATTAAATAGAATCTGCATTTATTCATTATATTCCTACTTTTTTTCAGGAATGGAAAGCCAACATCACAGAGTTCCCTTAATGAACACTGAAGGTATTTTATTCATTTTTCACCTGTGTACAATAACAGTGAGACTTTCTATGGCTAAACGGCAGTATATCTTTTCTTCCCACAACTTGCCCATCAAAGATTATGTGTTGTTAGAATGATAGGGCTGTAGCCAACTGAATTAATTAGAGAGTAAAATATCATTTCTGTTGGCCCTACTTTTATCTAGTTCTTCATAGTAAAAAATTAGTCTAAGACATCCTTCCTATGATTACAGCAGAATAGAAATGATTACCATATAATCACATTTGAAAAACTTCAGTTTAATTAGGGTATATTCAACCCAGAGTGCAGTGTCAGAGTCTGGCACAGCCAAAGAAATACAACAGATGGAGAAAAACAAATACTCTGCCATTCCTACTTATTTTCATATTAAAATGGTGTAAATGGGTCCAAGGTCTAGAGGCATGTTTATTTAACAGTCTTGTAAGTGTATTAGAATTTTAAAAAAAGATAAAGAAGAAATACATTCTTTTTTGTTTTGTCATTTTTCTCTAACCATTAAGATTTTTTTATGTACTCCAAATAATCTGCTAATTCTGTACATATTAGACACCCAAATGCTAATAATAACTTTGATCAGTGTCATCCTAATTTTTCCTTATCTTAGAAATGCCTCTTTTCCTTCCATTTATTCCTGATTTTTTTTTTTTTAAGATTTTATTCATTTATTCGACAGAATCACAAGTAGGCAGAGAGGAAGGCAGAGAAGGGTGAGGAAGCAGACTCCCTGCTGAGCAGAGAGCCCGATGCAGGGCTCAATCCCAGGACCCCATGATCACCACCCAAGTCGAAGGCAGAGGCCCTAACCCACTGAGCCACCCAGGTGCCCCTTCCTGATTTTCTTTATATCACGTCATCTATTCCTCCATCAAAAAATCCTATCCTCTTTGCCACAGTTAAAGATTCAGGAAGGAGCACATAACCTAATGCATTCCAAGGAGAGATGAAGAGATGTTTGCTGGAGACTTATCTAGAAAAGATAAGTCTGTAAGTTACTAAATTACCTTCTCAAAATGTTTAACCTAGGCCACAGGAGAAAACAGGTTTCAAATCAGTAATCACAGAAGTGTTGAACAAGGACATTGGATGATGATGGCTAACAAAATATAAAAACTCTCTCCAACACAAATCACCTTTAATGGCCATAAATATTACAAAATATTAAATCTAAAGTGGTGATGGAAAACTAGAATGTCTTTTATCAATTAGTCATGTCATTTGAGGAATCCATTAAATACAGAAAAAAGAGGAAAGAGGCTTACAGAAGAGGATTGAGCAACAGATGTGAAATAGTACCAAAGGATGCTTCATGCCCAGAGCAACACATTCAAACAGTTGGGGAGGCCCCCAGAGAAGGGATTATTTGGGTGAATGCATGTGGAATAGCTGGACAGAGTCCTCTTCTTCCCTGGACATCAGCTACATTTGTCCTTGGAACAAAGTGGCAAGGGTGAGTGCCTGCATCATTGAAGCCAGACATAATCAGACAGAAATTTCTGTCATAATCTACCAGCATTTTGCTCCCACAGTCTCCTAAGGCCAGCTCTTATGTCAGAATGTACATCCACAGCCAGGCAAAAACAAATTATCAAACAAAAATATCAAGAGCTAGCAGAAGTATTGCCAAAATATTAAGGAAAATATGCTTTACTAACGTCAGTTACCAAACCCAATCTGACAAGAAATGAATCTCAAGATTGTAGAGCACAAACAGTAGACTTTAAAAGGAATCTAATTAACTTGTTCAAAGTGAGTCAAAATGTTACAAAAATATCAGAAATAATAAAGGGACCTATTATAGATGTAGGACATTAAATGAGCATAAAATAATTGGTGTGACAAGATTTTTGAAAATATGAAATAGTTTGTATGTAAATATTAAACAACACATTACTGCACAAGCAATGGGCCAAATAAGAAATCAAATGGCAAATCAAAATATGTCTCAAAAAAAAGTATGTCTCAAAACAAAAGAAAAGGAAAATGCAATATTCCAAAACTTATGGGATGCAGCAAAAGCAGATAATTAGAGTGAAATTTATGCAATAAATGCTTGTATTGAGGAAAAAAGTTCAAAAAACAACATTAATTGTAAAAATTTATACCAATAAAATTTAAAGGCTAAATGAAATGGATAATTGTGGGGGATATAAATTACCTAGGTTTGCTCTAGAGTGATAGAAACTGAATTAATGAGAAATTATAGATAAAATGGAAGAGACAGTAAAAGATCGACTCTTGAAAAATACACGAGTCCCTGAAACAATACATTATCTGTTAATAAAAAAAAAATACTTGATTAAAACATTTCACTTTTAAGCTGGGGAAGAAACAAAATCTCTGTCCACTTCTAACAAAGAAAAATGATGAAGTAGAAATTGTGTATTTGATGATAATAGCACAGATGATCCCAAACTTCAAAATATTTCAATAAGTCATACCGTACGTATGAACCAGGGGACCATTTTGAGAGAGAAGGCTGAGAGATCACTGACCACTTCAGATCATGAGCAAATCTCTCAGAACAGCATGTTTCCGAGTAGTTGGTGCCATCCAGTGAAAAATTAACTCTTGTGTTAGACATCAGGCTTAAGTGTGTGGGCTGAAAAAGCCTTCCTAATCCTTTGTCCTCATGGAATGGCAAGGGAGTTAGAGTTGAAGGAAAAAAACCTACATATATTCCATTTTTGCAACAAATCATTTTACCAGACTCTTCTTCATGTTAGCCCCCAAAGTTCTCATCTTGTCTCCTCCCGCATCAAATCCCGTAAATAATGAAACCAGAAAGAGCTTCTCACTTTCACAGGTATGCAGCATTATAGAAGGAACGTACAAGGCAAAAAGTCATTAAAAAAAATGAAAAGCTAAAAACAAAGCCAACAAAATATTTCAACATAGAGTAGATAAAAACTTTAGTGAAGTATTTTTCTGTGAAATCAAGTAGATTAATTAAAGAAAAAATTCTCCACGTGTGAAGATGTCAAGACAGAAATATGGGAACTCAGAGGAGAAATAATGCAACAAAATAAGTGGGAACAAAGATAAAACCATATGAGTGATACAACAGTTGAAGCATCCACACCACTGAAAACAAATCTACCTAAATGAAGGACAAATTCCAGTTTATTGAATTACATAATAGAAAAAAAAGGCATTTAAATAACTAGGAAGAAAGATATGTGACAACTGGCCAAAAATAGATAATTATACCCATACCCAGGATCCACATAAGAAAGAAAAGAACAATTAGAACAAAAAGTAGACTTAAAAATAGAAATCAAGAAAAAAAATCCCAAAATTAAAACACTTGAAAACAAATTGAAGTTGACATCGTATTCTAATTAAAATGGACTCAGACTTACTAATACTGTGGCATTTTCACATAAATTTCCTGGACTTAGAGATTTCTATGGCACATAAGCCACCAAAACTAAGTAAAAACAAAACAAAACAAAACAAACCTCTGTTGGTTTTAATCTTCTCTACAGCATTTTTCAATGTGAGAACCAAATAAAGCAATTCTAGGAAATCCTCAAGTAGATGAAGTGTGACTTAAATATTTTATACCATCCTAAATTTTGGTTTATCTATAAAAGGCAAGACAGGTGATAGTGACAGACTCCCTTGGTATATAGCCGGCTCTGAAAATATAGGCTGTTTGCTCTCATTTGCATAGCCTATATAATTTCTACTAAATTTAAAAAGACTTCTTAAAAGCTTCATAGAAGCTTTAATATGGAAATATGCCTCTTGAACCTCCAACACAGAAAGGTAAAATAAATGTTTCTCCTACTCACTCTTCTTATTCTATGCATTCTTCTTTTCTCAGAGCACATTCCCAAAAGTGAGTCTGTGGTAATGTACAGATCTTCCCAGCGTAATCTTTTTAGCTTGTCAGTTATCTTTTTGGGAAAATAAATAATGGTGCCTGGACACAAAGTTCTCTTTTTCCCCCACATTTGTAAGCATAATTTTATTGGGCTGAACTTATATTAGATATAAATGGTAAATAGTTCAAATAATTTTAAATTATGCTATGATATGTATTTCTTTTTTTAATGAAAACCATCTGCCTTGATATTACTCATTTCTTTGTAAGTTGTTAAAAAACAAATATCCTTAATTTCTCTCTTTAGCCACTTGTATTTTCTGCATCTTAAATCTGATGGTATATGGCAGACACTCTCTCTCTGCTTTTTCTCTTCATTTCCAATTTCTTTCTTCAAATATAAATTAAAGATAAGAGATGTAATTCTCCATGTTGAAAATAAGAGATTCTACCTCACCCATTTTCTTAGGGAACTTTAGAAAACTTATAAGTTCTTTCTCTATCTCTTTGAAATGTATGTAAATCTTTTTTAAAAAAATAGACCTGTTACCAGCTTTATGACCCAAGTATATCTCTTCCAAGGACCTGTGAGCCATCTCTTGGAAATTTAATTATCAAGAGAGATAGCATCCTGATTCCTCCCCATTCCTGTAGCTTCCTTCATTTAAGTGGCTGTCTTTCTCCAAGTTGCAAAACTGCCTCCTAGCATAAAGATAGAAGTTTGTCTTTCCCTTGGATAAAGCCAATTAACTAACACAGATGGTCACGTCAATTACCAGGTAAATTTAGAATGAACTGTGTGGTGACAAATAGTGCTGTCAAGTTCTCTTTCTTGGTAAACTAAATTCCTCTATTCTAGACTTGGCATTTAATTTTAAAAATCTAAACATAGAATTATATACTTTTTGATTCAGTTTTATCTCGCTATATTCAGCTCGTTTTCTTCTAGCAGGTCTTTTTGAATGTCAACGTGCTCTCCAAGTATTAGCTATGATTTCAGTTCTGGGTTAGTAACAGATTGGATAAGTTTATCTTTTATTTTTCCTCTAGGTGAGAAATTGACTAGCATTAGTTTTTCTCTGGAACAATACCATTTCCAGAAAGATAATAGAAACCAAAAAATTGAAAATGTATGTCATTCAGCACTTGATATAATAATATGTTATTAGACTGAGTATGTCTTGAATTCATCTATAACGTTCATATATGCCAGGCATTGTTCTAAATAGAAACATAAACCCAGTTAACCTTTATTGTAGCCCTGTGAAGTAGTACAATTATCATACCATTTATAGATGACTAAACTGAGGTACAGAGTAGTTGTATAATTTACCCAAAAAAAGCTTTAGATAGTAAATAGTGGAGCCAAGATCTTAAACCAGAAAATCTCACTCCAGACTCATTGTTTTAAAACCAAGCTCAATTCCTGTTCTAGCCAATGTATTACTTTGTAGTAGCATTGCAGTTTTATCACATGGTAGATGAATTCAATGTTACTTTTATTATTGATAAAATCTTTGGCAGTATTGTAAAATGTTTTTTGTGTTTATGCTCAGAAATTTATTTTACCAATTATTTTCATTAGTTCTAAGAACCCTTTTTGAAATAGTAGTGGTTAAGTAGTAGAACCTAAGAAAAACACTAAGAAATGAAGTTATTTAATTAAGTTTCCATAACTGGATCTGAGCATTTTTATGTTGGAATATAACTGCAAGCACTGAAATACTCTGAAGTTAACACTTTATTAAGATAAATAGAGGAAATTCACACCTCTCTTGGTGTTAAATTGTTCCAGGCTTCATAGCAGTTTACAAGAAACTAGTGCATTGATTTATAGCATGAAAGCTATCTCTGCAGCCAGAGAGGCTAGCTGTTTTATTATTTGGTAACTAGAATCTTAGATTGTGAAAACACAGCAAAATCTACAGTGAGAAGAGTATGCCCTCACAATCTGTTTTTCATATACAAAGCTCATGTGAAACAAATCATCTGAAAAATAAAGATATTTTAAAATAAAAACAGAGTCATATTTACTCTAAATTCTTATGGTTAGCCATTTTCTTGTGCTGATCTTCAAAATCTTTCTATGAACACATACATCAGGAAAACTGCTAGGTGAGCTTTAACACCAATGAAAATCTCTTTAGGAAATGTAAATATAACAAGTGACAAAAACTTATACATTATATTTGTACTTGACATTATTCTTGCAGTTCTAATTTGTTCAAAATATTCAAGAATTTTTTAGAACTAATTTTAAGTTTTAATATCTGGGAAATGAAGTCATTTTCAGAATCAGTTGGAATGGGCAATAAATTCCCCTTTTTACTGTGAATTTTTATCTATTAATTATGAGTAATGTAGGCAGTCATATCTTTTCCTTTCATCTTAACAGAAAAAATTCTGAGATAAATATAGTGAGGCTTTTCTTCCTAGCATTTTGGGGGAGAATGCAGTTTTTATTTATCAATAACTCATTGAGAGACTATTAGATCTTATATATATTTAATGAAAAGTCCTTTATATTTATTTTATGGCACTATTGTTATTTGACATCAAACAACTCAAGGGAAACTTGTATTTGTTCATTTTTAAAGATTATATTTATTTATTTTAGAGAGAGAGTGCATGAACAGGAGGAGGGGCAGATGGAGAGGGAGAGAGAGAATCTTAAGCAGAGTCTATACTGAGTGTGGAGCCCAATGTGGGGCTCAATCTTAACCCTGAGATCACACCTGAACAGAAATCAAGAGGTAGTTGCTTAACCAGCTAAGCCACACAGGTGCCCCTCAAGAGAATCTTTTAAATAATGAATGATATAAAAGCAAATAAGCTATAAAAACAGGTATGTTAAAAATATTTTATACTTTCACCTGAAAGTGAAAATGAGTAGATTATTTCTACAGGGGGAAGAAATATTACTTTCTAAAAATATTTCTTAATAAAAACAACACTTCTTAAGATTTTAAAAGATTAAATTATGAGAAAATGAGATTGACATCAATTGGGAAATACAACTGAGCGTAATTATACATGAATATTCATGAGCATTATTCATAATAATCAAAAAGTGAAAACCACCCAGATGTCCATCAACTAATGAAAGAATAACCAACATACAGTATAGCTATATGACAGGATATTATTTGTCAAAAAAAAAAGAATAAAGTATGGGTACATGATACAACATAGACGGACCTTGAAAATAGGCTCAATGAAAGAAGTCAAAACAGCACATACTACATGATTCTATTTATATAAGGGAATTCCAGAATAAGCAAATCATTAAGGACAGACAGTATATTAGCATTTCCTTGGGGAAGGGGAAGAGATGAGCAACTTCTAACAGGTATAGTCTTTCTTTTTGGAATGATAACTTTTTCTAGCCTTAGATTGTGATGATGGTTGCAGAATTCTGTGAATATCGTGAAGCCATTGAATTGTGTGCCTTAAACTCATGAATTTTATGGCATGTGAACTATATCTCAATAAAGATGTTTAAAAAAATGATTCCTGGATGACCATTTCTCCTAACACACTTGGAAAAAATAAATGTAAAACTACTTTGAAGAGATTTTTATAATCTATGCTGCACAAAATGCCTCTGGAGTAAATAGTTGATTTGCAAGATATGATCACAATAAAATATTTTAAAAATCACAAGAAAATGATCTACCTCAGACCTAGCAAATGTAAGAAACATATTTGGAACATATAAGGAGTAATAAAATAGTTTGAGACAGAAAATAATAAAAGTTTATTTAATATAGTTAAAACCATATATGAATGGAAACCATAAGAAAAGAATTAGGCACTAGGAAAAAATTCAGACTGATCTGAAAACTCATCACTTAAAACTTTAAAAAGTAAAAAATTTTAAGGATTCTTGAAATAAAAATGAACAATAAGCAGGTCAAACAGTAGATGAAATAAAGCTGAAGAGAAAATGTTGAAATGTTTGAATTTCTCAGAACAGCCCAGAGAGATACAAAGATTAAGCAAATGAGAGAGAGACTAAGACATGTAGAAGACAGAATAGAAAATCATATATATATATATATATATATATATATATATATATATATATGTATGTATGTATGTATATGTATCTGGGCTGTTCTGAGAATATATATATATATATATATATATATATATAACTGAAGTAGAATAAGAGAGGGGCAATATTTGAAATAATAATAAAAGTTTTTCCAGGTTGAGGAAAAATAAATAAGATACCTTACAGTCCAGAGGCACAATGACTTCTAACCAGAATAAATACAAATAAAGTTATGCCAGTAATATCCAACTGAAACTGCTGGACACCAGAGGCAACAAAAAAATAAAGACAATCAGGAGAAAGAAGATTACCAGGAAAGAAAAGGTGAGAAAGAGGAAGAGATTAACTACACAGAAATAGCATTTGGACTGCAGCAGATATCTCAAAAACAGTAAGAAAGCTTAGAAAATAAAAAATAAATAATAGTCTCACAATGCTTAGAGGAAATAACTACCAGTTTAGAGTTCTGTACCCCACTAAATAATTCTTCAGGAGTTGTTGGGGAGGGTGGAGATATTTTCAGATAGAGGACTTTTCATTTACTGGATTTTTGTTTTTAGTCACTAGAGACTCCATCATTTAAAGTACTGCTCAGTAATTGACTATCGGAAGAAGAAAATTGTACCCAGACGGTAGGAACAGAATTCATAAATGGATGGTAAGAATGGATATTGGTAAATATGAAGTAAACCTAAATGAAAATTGCTGTAAAAATAATGACTAATTGTGTGCGGTTTAAAAATAAGACGATGAAAATATTAGACATAAAGTACAGGGGAGGAGTTAGAAGTTACTTATATCATGGGGTGAGGAGTATAAGGATATTGGTTAATGTTAGACTTTGTTAGGTTACATATATTAGAAACTTAAGGGGAACCACTAAAATAACAGAAAAATAATGTACAACTTCCATTAGAAAGAAAAAAATGGAATAAAGTCGGTTTGTCAGTGCAACTGGAGGCAGTAGAGAAAAAAAAAAGGACATAAAATACAAAGCAAGTTGGCAGGAATAAAATACTAAGAAACACGATAAAGGAAAAAGTTATAAACCTCAACAATTAAAAGGTGAAAATTTGATGACTGGATTCCAAATTTCCAGCTATATGCTATTTGTTAGGGGGTGAGAGGCAAAGGGAGAGGAAGAGAGAATGTTAAACAAGCTCCACGCCCAGGATGGAGCCCGACACAGGGATGCCATCTCACAACCCTGAGATCATGACCTGAGCTGAAACCGAGAGTCGGATACTTAATCAACTGAGCCACCCAGGCATCCAGCTACATGCTATTTTAAAAGGCACATCTTAAACATAGTCACATGGTAAATTTGAAAAAGTGGAATAAAAATTATATACCTGACAAATATTAACCATAAGAAGCAGGTATAGCTGTACAACTCCCAGGGAAAAGGCTTTAAGGCAGAAAACAGTAGTAAGGTTAAAGAGGGTCATTGTAAAATGATGACTTTAAAAAAAACTTCACTAAGACAATGTGATAAGAAAAAAAGGTAGAAAAATCCATTTTCCTATTACTTATGCATGTATAATTCTCAAAAGGTTTAAAACTAGATTAGTCCTACTTGAACAAACTTCCTTTTATTTCTTGACATCTCTCCTTGAAAGCTTAGAACACATTTCTTTCACTAAGCCTTCCAGTATTGATTTTTTTCCAACTTTTTCTGTCTCCCCTTTTGCTCTTACATGGTGTATTGTAAATCGAGTTAGATAGGAAACCTCACTGGAGCTTTGTCTTTTAGGTGTTTGTAAGTGCCATGTACCCTTACAACTATTATAAATAAATAATCATCATCATCTTGGGATAAAAATGAAACATAAAAGTGTCAACCTTTCAAACAAAAATGAGTTACCTTTCTCTCTTTATACCTTAGAGATGCATTCTTGTAAAATTCTAGAAACTCAAGTGTATTATTTAAGTTAAAAATGAAAAAAAAAGTGTTATATCAGTCTAGGGAGAATAAGCATCCTGTTTTGCCTGATTTTAGCACTGAAAATCCTGTATCCCAGGAAACTCTTTGGGCACCTGGAATACTTGGTTGCTCAATAATATCACTTTTAAGAAAGTCAAAGCACATACATCTTATACCTTTTATTGAAAATTCATCTAAATAAATGTTCAGGCAAAAAGACCAAGAGTTAATATCCATAATGGAGAAAAATATTAACAGTTTTCCTTAATCTGCGTCCTATATTGTTAAAAAAAAGTCCACATTTTTGTATCCTGTCTCTTTCTAACTTGATTAAATGTAAGGCATCTTATTAAGTGAAAAGTTTGCAAAGCAGTGGAAAATGACTTTTCCTTTAAACTAATGTGTTGTCAAGAAGTCTCTGGTATTCCTGGAATTTTTATTAAGCATGCTTGAGAAACTCACAATTATTTTCAAGCACCACAGCATCTAAAAGTTGAAGATGGTAAAGTATAAGGCTAGAAACCAATTCTTAAAAAGAATACAACAGAAATGTTTCTTAGCCTTGAATTTGCCTATATTAAATAGCTTTTTTTTTGCCAAGGAAGTGGATGAAATTGACCAAAATTATAGGCAAGGAGAAGACATATAGTTAGATTATGATATATCTCCTTAAGCAAATAATATAAACGTCTCTACTATCTGAATTATAAAAAACTATATTTACCACATCTGATAGCTTATGAAATTTTAATTTTCTCAGGTAGTCAGTATGGCTCTGGAAACCTAATAATATTTTCTCAAAACTGTTCATCTGCTCACAAAACTATATACTAAGTGGTTGGGAATTCCAACAGAAATAATACATGACCCAATCTTTAGGGGACTCATATTTTATTAGATATCAAAAGTAAACAGATGTGTTCATTGAAATAGAATACAACTGTATATAGGAGGTGCCGTCATTATAACAAGAAAGAAATTACTAAGGTGTGTAGCAAAAAATTTACAAGATATGATGCTTGAACTGGATCTTCATTCGTTCATTCATTTATGCACGCGTGCATTTATCAAAGTTATTAAGCATCAATTTTGTGCCAGGCACTGTGCTCAGTGCTGGCTATCAATGTTTGTTTGTTTGTTTCTCTTCCAAGATTTTATTTAAATTCAAGTTAGTTAACATATAGTATAGTAGTGGTTTCAGGAGTAGAATCTAGTGATTTTTTTTAAAAAAAGATTTTATTTATTTGAGAGAGGGAGAGCACAGAGGGGGAGTGAGAGGGAGAAGCAGACTTGATCCCAGAACTCTGAGATCATGACCTGAACCAAAGGCAGGTGTTTGACTGACTGAGCTGCCTTGGCACCCTGAATTTAATAATTTATCACTCACATATAACAGCCAGTGCTCATCACAACATGTTCAGTCCTTAATGAGTTCTGGCTATAGTTGTAAACAAGAAGGAAATGCTCCTAACGTCACATAGCATACACTCCATTAGGAAAGAGAGACAATAAACATATTCACAAATAAATAAAATACGTTAGTTTCAGATGGCAGCAAATGTTATCAAAGGAAAAAGCAGATGATACAAGAGAGACCACTGGAGGAAGCCGAGGAATGACTAGTTGTTCAGGCAGATGGGATGGGGGTAAACAAGGGCATTTCAAGGGACAGGTCCTTCTAAACTGTCTAGCTCCTTTCTACAACATGAAGTTGGCATTTCACATAAGTGGTCACCAACATCCTTGCATTTTTCTTGGTGACTGTCTTAAAGAATAAATCCTAACATATCTACCACATTCTAGTTTGTCTTTAATCTTTCACTCTTTTGACCTCACATCTTTTTTCTCTCTTTCTTGCCTTGCCAGACTGTTATTTAACACCATTTTCTTGTTTGCAAACTTTCCATGATTCTGATTCCTATTCTTTCCCTGGCATGGCCAGAGGTAAAGGGAGTTGGAGAACAAGAGATGAATACCAAGCCAGAAAGCCATTATCTTCTGTAACTTTCAGGGCAATACATGTAGGAGCAGGAAGAAGCAAATAAAATTAAGAATCGATCTCAGGGGAGTGGAGTAATGTAGAAAAAAGAAAAGAGCAAGAGGAGAAGGTCCAGATATTTTGCGGGGATGAAAGAACTAAAATTCTACCTTATTAGATACAAATATGGGAGGGAGTCAGACCCAGTTGAAAGTCCAGGGTTTTTAGAAACCTGCCAGCTTTTTCCAATGGATACCGTTACTGTTATGAACTTGGGGACCAATTCCTGCCTATATAATGAACTGTAGGACCGATGAGCCAAAGCAATTTTCCCACTAGAAATGTTCTATCATTGTAGGTCTGTGCTTCCCTGCTAACCAGCCCTCTGTCCCTCAAGACATTTATGATCTGTTCCAACAACTGAAAAATGGGGAGTTAGAGTACACAGTATATGAAGGCTTATATTCCTCCTGCCATAAATCTCTACTTTAGAATCAAGATCTGAAGAGAACGATCATCTTTACCTCTACTCTGCTTGCGTCTACCTTGGCCCTACATTGAGCAAATTCCATAGATAACAGTTGCTTTGACGGAAGACTGTAGCAGGTTATAACGGTAATTACACAATTATTATGTTTCAAGGTATTACTGTCTTAACAGTTATTAAAAATGGCCTTATAATCAGAAAAAAACACAGCAACTTAAATAGAAATGCTAAATGATCCATGATCTCACTGATGCTTGTAATCCTTTTTTACTATTTTCACTATTAGTGTGAAAGTTTATAAGTTAAAGTAGGTGAGAAATTCATTTGGAGATTGTCATTTCCTTTATATACTTTAAAAGAAAGCTGAAGGGTCTGTTTAAAATGAGATATCTTGGTTTGGCACCCAAATATGCCTTCTTTTCATTTAGTGTTACACTAATTAGTTCAGCACTATCATCCAACTGTCAGATCATATTTACTTCAGTTAATTTCATTTCCACCCAGTGCTTTTCCATAAAAGTGAACAATAGCTTATTGTTTGTTTTCATCAATAATTTGTCATAGTGACTGCTCTGTATTCAGGTGTAATATCCCTTACCTTGGAAGATAAAAAAATTCTGTGTACATACATAGACATATAAATACCAGCTTGCTGATAAATTCTAGCAAAAAAAAATTGTCCTTACTTTGCTAATGATGTATTTCATAAAGGAGTTTTTGTTATGTAACTTTGTATGTGTCTTCAGGGTTATTTCATTTTAATTTTCTAAGTGAAGGGAGGACAGTATAGGCACATGACATTTTTTTAAAATACAAACCTAAAATTATTTTTAATACCGGTTCACTGAGCATTTAACAGTGTAAATATTTGCCCTATTTCTTTATAAGATACTTAAAAATTACATGTGGCTGTATTATCTGTGACATGACAATTTAGTAGCCAATTAAATTTGAAAGTTGGTCTTAGAAATGAAAGAAACAGGTGCAAAATAAACATTCTATACTGAGCAATTGTGAGTGGGATGTTTTTAAGGATGCAAAGTTATTTTTGTGAATGCAGTTTTACTTCCAAGTGCTGGCAGAATTATTTATGTATCTGTCTATGTGAAAAGCGATTCATATTTGAAAACATTATCAAAAATTTTCCCTATTCGGTACAGATTTGTTCCCAAATGTGTCCTAATTCTCTCAGTGCTTCTGGACAAAGACATTTGCCAAGAAGATAAGCAGACATGACTCCTAAGATGACTAACTTTCAGTCCGGAGAGGAATGAAGTTTGTTAATCTCCCAACCACTTTTTCTCTGTGTGGAGAATTCTTGGCTCTTCTTGGTAGACTCAAACATGCACTCAGGATTGGCTTAATGTAAGGGGAATGTGTAAATATCCATAGTCTGTGTGATTTCAAGGCATTACCCCTGGTTTAGGGTTAGTTTCAAAGAGTAGGAGAGCAATCCTTTGTGTCTCCCTGGGAATAAAGGTAGACTCCAGGACAATGGGATTGGCAGGACGGCGTCAGTCAGTTGGAGGTGAGGAGCACCAGGAAACCTTAGAGAGGGAGGCAGGTTGACCATAAAGGAGGAATTTCAGATTTGCTATAGATTTGTATTTTTTTAAAGATTTTGTCTATTTATTTGAGAGAGAGGGAATATGAGAGAGAAAGAGCATGAGAGGAGAGAGGTCAGTGGGAGAAGCAGACTCCCTGCTATGCAGGGAGCCTGATGTGGGACTCCATCCCAGAACTCCAGGATCATGACCTGAGCCGAAGGCAGTCGCTTAACCAGCTGAGCCACCCAGGCGCCCGGATTTGCTATAGATTTGTATTTTTAAAATTAAAGTTTAACTTTTACAAAATTTGACAAGATTTCCTATATCTTAGTATTCATAGAGTAAAATTACATTCATAAGGAACACTTTAGATCTTAATGCCACAATAAGTATAGCAACTTGTCCTAAAATACAACTTTTGAAAGGTAAATTGCAAAGTTTTGGCTTTACCATGTCCCATTCCAATATGCTGTCATTAGGGGAAATGGGGAAAAAATGTGATTGGTAGTTTGGCCAGGTAGGAAAGAGCACGTCTAAGGTGAACATTATTAAATATTTCTAATGTTCATGGTTCGTGGCATAATTATTCATAAGAGTGAAAACAATGAACATAACCCAAAAGCCCAACTATGAAATATCTGTTGTAGATATCATGAGTATTAGACATTAAGAAATATGCATGTCTTTGGGAAATGTTCAAAATACATTAAATGAAAAAACTAAATTATAGAAGAATAATCAATAGATAATGTCTTAAATACATTATGTAGGGGACATGCAGATACCCCCTTCAAGGATAGATTTCTTGCCCAGCCACAGGGGTGTGGTTGGCAGAAGCCTCCCCCGACAGTTCCTTCTGGGTCAGCGTCAGCTTCAGAGAGCTGCTTTGCCTAACCTCACTCCCTCCCTTGGACAGCCCACACCGAGCACTTGATGCAGGTTGGGGTAGGATTTAACAATTTGGACCTGACATAAACCACTCTGAAAAGTTAAGACTTGCTCTAGAGCTCCTCTTGGTTGGCTGAGGTTTTTCAGACCTGACAAAGTTTGATTTCTTCCTCCACCCAAGCCTGTTGTAAATTTGTTTTTAAGCCTCTAAATTTTCGATAATTTGATAAAACAGCAATAAGAAACTAATTTATCACCAACATCTCATTTTGTATGATATCATTTTAGTGAAAAATATTTTTCAGGGGGAAAAAAGGCTTGGGACAATATATACTGAAAGGTAAATAATATTTATCAATGAGTAAGATTTTTCCTCATTTTGCTTATATTGTTTTTTAGATTTTCTATAATAAATACATTTCTTCTGTAATACATGAATTTTTAAAGGAGAAAAAGAATTGTCTTCATGACTTCAATCAAGATACTCAAAAGTAATAATGGAATATATGCACTCAACTTTTCTAAAGGAAAAGTGAGAAAAAAGTTGCCTATTATCCACAAAAAATTATTATTATTACTGTTATTTTTTAAGGCAGGAATTTATTTTGCTCTTAAGTAATGGGTAGAAGGAAAACAGTTCAAGGCTGGCAGGCCAGTTTCTCCAGCCTCAACATACAACCTCTGTAGCTCCCATAACACTGCTTAAGTACCCCCCCAGAATCTCAGCCAGCAAGAGGAGTATACACCCACTCCCTTATTTAAGGGCCCAATCTGGAAGTTCCACTCCCATCCCACTGCCCAGTCACGGGACCACAATAAAACTATAAGGGAGCTGGGGAAGCCAAATCTTGGGCTGAGCAGCCAGGCATCCAGGTAAAACTCCAGAATCCAGAAGCTCTTGAGTAAAGGAAGGGGAAACATACATGACAGCAGCAATCTTGGCCACATGTATTTGCGAATACATGGAAAAAACAGCCTGGAAGAGTAAATACACACTAATTATTGTCCTTATCTCTGGAATAGGAGCAAGAACAGCGAGGAGACAATAATTGCCTGAAATTGTTTAGATGGTGATAGTATATTCATGTATGAACTAGGAAGTTTTAAAATTTCACAAAATTTTAAAATCCTTTATTGTTGCTTTATTGTTACTCTTTCATAGTAATAGAGTAATCCTTTACAAACGGAACTGTGAAATCAGATAAACTCAACTGGATTAAATAAAAGCATAATACATGCAAAATTAAGTCATTAATAATAATAATAATAATTTAGTTTCATTCGATCATTCCTCTGTTTCGTTTGTTTGTTTGTTTGCATTGGTGGGGGCAGAGGAAGAAGGATAAGCAAACTCCACATCCGGCACAGGGCCCAATACAGGGATCTATCTCACAACTCTGGGATTATGACCTGAGCTAAAATCAAGAGTTAGAGGCTTAACCAAGTGAACCACCCAGGCATCCCTCATTCTTCTGTTATGGTGGTTATTCATATTGGGTTTTTGTTTTTAATTTTTTCTTCACCATTAACAATGTTATCATATATCCTTCTACCTAGATTTTTATCTACTAGCTCTTAAATGTTTTTAGGATAGATTCTCAAGAAATGAACTCCTGGGCAGAGAATTTATAAATTTTCATTTCTAATAGATGTTGTAAGATTGCTCTGCAAACATGCTACAATTTAAAATTTCACTAGCAATGCATAGGTACTACCCCATTCCCCGGAGCGCTCTTCTAGATTTTTACAAACTCAGACACAAATGACATTACTGGACTTAGGAAGCCACAGAACTTGTAGTAAAGGTGACTTGAAACTTAACTCAAGGTTTTTGGCTGGGAAATGTTTGTATATCTCTTATTTCTGATCGAGACTGTCCTGAGAGCAGGAGGTTGAGCTGTTGCTGTTGGCAACTACCTTGGGTCTTACATGGCCCACCTTTCCAGTCTCATCTCCGGTTAGTTCCCTTAGCTCTGATCCAACCACACTGAGATGTATTCTCCTTGCCATCCTTTCTTTATTCAAAATTTGATTTTCTTCTGCCTGAAATGTTGCCTATTATCAATCTGTTTTCATATTATAAGATGATGGAATCGAAGAAGTTCAGAATTTGGCGGCGGTGGGGGGGTGGTAGGCAAGAGATGTATACTTTTTTTTTTTTAAGATTTTATTTATTTATTTGACAGAGATCACAGGTAGGCAGAGAGGAAGGCAGAGAGAGAGAGGAGGACGCAGGCTCCCCGCTGAGCAGAGAGCCCAATGCGGGGCTCGATCCCAGGATACTGTGATCATGACCTAAGCTGAAAGCAGAGGCTTTAACCACTGAGCTACCCAGGCGCCCCAAGAGATGTATACTTTTACCTAACCCAGTATACATTGCTTTTCTCCTGAATTTGTCCTTTAACACCTAAACTTAAAACTGTGCTAGTAGGAAGCTTTCCCTCATTTCTTCAGCTGACGTCATTTTCACCTCTATTGGAATCTATAATGCATTGCTTGTACTTTTTTTTTAAAGAAGTTTAGTACAGTAAGTACCTTAGAATTTAGATAATCTTCTTCTAAATTAAAACATCCCTGAAGGAATGAGTTGCCCTTACATATTTTTTGTAAACCCCTCTTGTTCCCCAAACAGTATCTTATAATGAATAGAGATGTAAATATTTATTGAATGAACTGTATATCTGTTTATAGTACAAGTGTGAGAGCATTTGAAGTTATCGCAAACAAAATAAAGAACAACAACAAAACCCCTAAATCCCACTAATATGAATTAGACAAAGACTTTGAGAAGAATCTGAGGCAGAGAAACCATACCTATAGAAGCAGGAGTATATTTATCTGAAGTCATAAATTCTAATAATTTTGAATAGTCCTAAATTTCTGCTATCAAATGTGACCAGTCAGCATATACTACTTGTTATAGATTTAATTGCATTCTCCGAAAAGATATGTTGAAATTCTCATTTCTTCTATCTCAGAATGTGATTTATTTGAACAGAGGGTTTTGCAAAGGTAATTATTGAAGATGCAGTCATACTAGAGTAGGGGAGGCTCTTAATCCAGTACAGATAGTGTCCTTATAAGAAGAGAGAAGACATAAGAGACGGACATACAGAGAGAACACCATATAAGGATAAAGCAGGCATCTTGGAGTGGGTACCTCAACAAACCAGGGTCACTGAGGATTGTCAGCAACCACCAAAAGCTAAGAGAGATCAGAGTGTCTCCCTCACAGTCCTCAATAGGAACCAAACTTTTCAATACCCTCGTTTTGGACTTCTAGCCTCCAGAACTGTGGGAGAGTACATTTGTTTTTTGAAATCCTGTGGTAATTTGTTATGCAGCCCTGGAAAACTGATATGCCATTCTTCTCCCTGATCCTTTCTTCACAGTAAAAATGTAAATTCAATGATTTTGATAAGCTGATGGTCAACTGGTATTTGAGAAAAGCTAAGAAGGTGAAAACTGTTATTTGTGCTTACCTCTTCAGCCAGTGAGTAGAGAAGCCCTTTGAGGAACTGTAATGAGTTCCTCATAGCACACAGACAGATGTGTTATGTCCCGGCAAGGGAAGTATCCAATGGCCAGGTAAGTAGATAAAAGAGACAAAGCAGAGCAGGAGGTCTAAGGTTCATGTATTAATCAACATCAGGGAGATCTGAAGAAATTGAAGCAGCAGGTAGGCGATGGGTTGGTTCTAACACTGATGGATCAGAAGTCTTCATCAATTGAAGGATCAATGGCAGTGTAACTCGAGAACAGACACACGGAGCCAGAGGAATGAGAAAGAAAAGGAATAATTCTGAAGTTGAAGCTGTTTGTTTCCCCAAACTTCAACTTCCTTTGTTCTTGCCTCACAAAGGCAAGTTTCAGTCTTAAGGCACTCTTTCTTCCCTGGATGCCTATGGAGGCCTTACAATGTTAAAACAAATAGCTGAGTCGCACGATTGCTGGAACAGGGCAAACACATGATTTCCTGGCGGAGGTAGTTCTTATATTGATCACTTAAGCCAGTCTTTTCATAAAATATTAACATTACAAGGCTTAGTTAGAAGATGTTAACTGCTGAGAGCTCTGGTGAGGTCTGAGTTTATGTTGGACTGTAACTCCAACATATTATTTTTCTTTTAAATCAGTAAACACAAAGACACGTTTCCTTTCTGCTAGAGAGGGAATTTTGGGATATTATTGTGGAACACCCTGCAGTTATTGCACGGTAAAGAAATATTCCTCATTTTAGTCTAGCATCTGAAATTTCATGTAGATATAAAAGTACATAAAGTATATAAAAATTTATATAAAAATATAGATATAAAAGTATATAAAGCATATGAAATTTATATAAAATTTATACTAAAATTTTATGTAAAAATTATTGTCAACATTTCATGCTTCCAACTTTAACTTGCAGCCTTCAGAGTACAGTCAGTTTGATGTTTTGCCTGGAGACTGTTATTATCCCAAATGAGAAGGAATGTGTGGTACTATTAGAAATGAATACGTCAAGCTATAGTCAAACACCAGGAGATAAATAGGTATGAGAATTTTTCAAAGATACGTCATTGCATTAGAATAATACTTGGGTGCTCAAATGGCAAAGGAGACCCTGGCAGAAGACCCCAGTGGATGCTTCCCCAATTTATATAAAATGGGAAATCAAGGTCTACAAAGACTTTTTGAGGTTTTGGGTTTTGTTTTTGTTTTGCACAGGATATTTAAATGAAACATTATCTGTCAATTAATTCACTTACAGTTGACCCTTGAATAACATGGGTACTAGTGGCACTGACGCCCCCCATGCAGTCAAAAATCCCTGTATAACTTGATTCCCCCCAAAATACTAATAGCCCACTGTCAACTGGAAGCCTTTTTAATAACATAGCCGATTACACATGTTTTTAAAGTTATATGTATTACATACTATATTCTTATAACAAAATAAGCTAGAGAAAAGAAATGTTATTGAGAAAATACATTTACAGTGTTGTAACTGTATTTATATAAAAAAAGAAAACATCCTATATGTGGACTTATGCAGTACAAACCTATCTTCTTCAAGAATCAAGTGTAGTAAAATTCCACAAAACCTTTCAAATATAAATGAGATACAAAGTGACTAATATAGTTCCTGTGCTCTAGGACTATATATAGGGAAGAGACAGATGTATAAAATTAACCATAATTTATGGCAGAATGTGATGAAATCAATTATAGAGTCAAATCAAAATCTGTATGTACACAAGAGAGCATAATTCCCACCAGAAAATCAGAGGCGTTTTCTTAGAAGATAAGGGGTTTGAGTATTTGAATAGAGTTTAAAAAGTTAGGCAAAGTTTCACCAGTCAGAGGCAGAGAAAAAGAGGAATTCAAATGGATGAGTAGTGAAGGCCTGAAGACAGTAAATGTTGAGATCAGGTAAGAAGTCTAGTGTGTCTGGAATGTAGGGAATGAGAACAGTCATGTGACACTGAGATCACAGAGTGCCTAAAATGCAAAAGTTAAATTAGTTGCATGATATTCCTTGAGAAATGTCAAGCCATAAACATATTTTAGTGAGTGATAGAGTTGTTTTTTTTTTTTTTAATCACCTTCCACTCAACATGTCAACTATACAACTCTTTCTTGATCTCATTACTCAGATGACAGATTGCAGGTTTTGTCTGTTTTCAGAGAATTACCCTTCTTTCCCTATTCCTGACAGCTTTTCTCTTTAGATTCTAACTTTTGACATTTGATACATAAGCCTCTGAACCACACTGTTTGTGTTGAATTATTTGATCAGGCATAAACTTGTATTTGTAGATTATCAATATTTGTTTTAAATCTTGGTAATACCGAGCTTATCCTGTGACAAAATTTTGGCGTGAATGTTAACATTAGCTAAATGCTTCAAAGTCAGTCTGATTCACTTTACATTAACCTGATTTTTAGCATGAGATCCACAGAGATTACTCATCTAGCCTCAAAATATGATGTAGAAATAAGATAACTGAATTGACATGTATTCCTTAGAGCAACTCTATCCACTATTTCTTTCTTCAAAAGAGTTTTGACAGCTTGTCAAACATTTTCTTACAAAGAGTCATCATATGACTGCCTTCATCAAACTACCTGTCCGTTCACACCCATTCAGGCTTAAAACAGAATCAGTGTATACCCATTTGTTTCTAGTGTTGTGAATAAGAATTGCTCAATTCAACACATCCTGAGAGGGAACATGGTCCAATGGATTGAGCAACAAAAAGGAAGTTTAAAGTGTAGGCATCTATTTCTGGCAGTTTTTATTTTTATTTTTTTATTTATTTTTTACAGACTTGTCATATATTTGAGAGGATTTTACTTTACTTCTGCCTAAATTCTCTTGTCCAGCCCCTAAACTTCCTTTGTGGTATTTGCCATCTATCATCAAGAAGGTGATGCTGATGTACAAGATATGATCTATAGAAGAGAACATTATATCTAAAAGTTTTTGGAAAGATATTTATTGAGAAATAAATTATTCTCCATTCTCTTCTCTAGTTATAAGTTCTTGCACCCTGATTCATTGTGCAGCTCCAAATTAAAAAGAGTGTTGGGGTGCTGGGTGGCTCAGTTGGTTAAGCATCTGCCTTCAGCTCAGGTCTTGATCCCAGGGTCTTGGGATCAAGCCCCAAGGCAGGCTCCCTGCTCAGCAGGGAGTCTGCTTCTCACTCTCTTTCTGCCTCACCCCTTGCTACTGCTCTCTCTCTCAAGTAAATAAATAAAATCTTAAAAAAAATAAATAAAATAGTTCTCATTCACTTTTGTTAAAATTCTTGTCACCTTTTCCCTTTGTTTTCAAGATGTCAGTTCTGTCAAAGTAAAATGTTCCATATTACATTTCTATTTCTTTAGGACAAAAATGAAATCTAAACTATTTCTGAAAGAAAAAAAAAATTGTTACACTGGATGCTTGTGTGCTTTTTGTCTCTCTTTCTCTGATTCTCTTTTTCATTCTTGAGAATCATTACAAAAATATGTGCTTTCATGAAATACCCCTACCCAATCGTGGGGCTTATATATTTTTTCAATATTAATTTTTGTGTCGATAAACTTATTTACCAGTTCAATTTTACTTTTTGAATATGTGTGAAAAATGGAAGATGCACCACTTTATCTCAGCACACCTTAATCCTTACTACCATGAAAGCAACTTCATTTAAGTTCTACATGCATCTCAACTTATTTTAAGAAACAAAATAGTGTATGATCTATCAATAAGGAAAATATTCAGTGTAAAATTATTTTTCAATTGCATGATGCCATACATGTTTTCATTATTGGCTATTATTTTAAATAATTCTGTTGCAAGTTTTCCCATGAAAGAAAGAAGTTTTAAAACTGGCTGCCAGGATTAATTTTTTATTATTTTTTAATTTAATTTTTTTAAGTTAGGAGTAATTTTAAAACCCAGAAGAAAAAATAAATAAGAAAATATGAAATGTCAACAAGAGTAAAGATGGTCAAAAGTGGCTTCTTAGTCCTCTTAACTGAATGGTGAGTGATCAATGGAAATCCTTTGCAACCTTTGATGAAATTATGCATCAATTCCATCCTAACCTTTTTTTAAAGTTTTTATTTATTTATTTGACAGAGTGAGACACAGTGAGAGAGGGAACTCAAGCAGGGGGAGTGGGAGAGGGAGAAGCAGGGCTCCCACAGAGCAGCGAGCCCGATTTGGGGCTCAATCCCAGGATCCTGGGATCATGACCTGAGCCCAAGACAGATACTTAACTGAGCCGCCCAGGTGCCCCCTATCCTAGCCTTTTAAGAGAACTCGTGGCAATTACTTTATATTTCTGTGATAATCAAATTCATTCTTTCACTATACTATGCATAAGCATATTGAGTCCATTTATACCTAAAGTAATATAATTGACTTTTTTGGTTTGTTTTGTTTCAAGTTTTTATTTAAATTCTAGTTAGTTAACATAGAGTATAATGTTGGTTTCAGGAATAGAATTTGCTGATTCATCACTTATATATAACATCCAGTGCTCATCACAAGTGCCTTTCTTAATACCCACCACCCATTTAGACATCCCCAAACAATCCTCAGTTTGTTCTCTGTGGTTAAGAGTCTCTTACAGTTTGCCTTCATCTCTGTTCTTTCGTTTTTTATCTTCCTTCCCCTATGTTCATCTGTTTTGATTCTTAAATTCCATACATGAGTGAAATCATATGGTATTTGCCTTTTTCTGACCGACTTATTTCGCTTAGCATATTATACTCTAGCTCTATCCACATCATTGCAAATGGCATTGTTCCAATTTAGTTATTGTTGATAATGCTGCTATAAACATCAGGGTGCATGTGTCCCTTTGAATCAGTATTTTTGTATCCTTTGGATAAAACTTAGTGGTAAAATTGCTGAGTCATAAGGCAGTTCTATTCTTAACTTTTTGAGGAACCTCCATACTGTTTTCCAGAGCGGCTGCACCAGTTTGCATTCCCACCAACAGTGTGAGAGGGTTCCCCTTTTTCCACATCCTTGCCAAAATCTGTTCTCTCCTCTGCTTAGCCATTCTGACTGGTGTGAGGTGTTAGCTCATCATGGTTTTGATTTGTACTTTCCTCTTGATAAGTGATGTTGAGCACTTTTTCATGTGCCTGTTGGCCATTTGTATGTCTTCTTTGGAAAAATATCTCTTCATGTCTTCTACCTATTTCTTAACTGGGCTATTTGTTTTTTTTTTTGGGACTTGAGTTCGGTAAGTTCTTTATGGATTTTTGATAGTAGCCCTTTATCAGATATGTCATTTGCAAATATCTTCTTCCATTCCATATGTTGCCTTTTAGTTTTGTTGATTGTTTCCTTTGCTGTGCAGAAGCTTTTTATTTTGGTGAGGTCCTAATAGTTCATTGTTTTTGTTTCCCTTTCCTCAGGACAGTTGTTTAGTAAAAAGTTGCTAAGGCTGATGTCAGAGAGGTTGCTGGCTATTTCTCCTTGAGTATTTTGGTGGTTTCTCACATTTAGATCTTTCATCCATTCTGATTTTATTTCTGTGTATGATATAAAAAAGTGGTCATTTTTTTCTGTGTGTATCTGTTCAGTTCTCCCGACAGTATTTGTAGAAGAGACTATTTTTTTTTCCATTGGATATTTTTTCTTGCTTTGCTGAAGATTGGTTGAACACCTAGTAGTGGGTCCATTTCTGGGTTTTCTATTCTGTTCCATCGATCTATGTGTCTCTTTTTATGTCAGTACTATACTGTCTCAATGACTACAGCTTTGTAATATAGCATGAAGTTGGAATTGTGATGCTTCCAGCTTTGCTTTTCTTTTTCAGGATTGCTTTAGTTACTTGGGGTCTTCTGTGGTTCCCTACAAATTTTAGGATTATTTGTTCTAGCTCTGTGAAAACTTGCAACAATCCTAGAATACAGTTGACTTGGATATCACTATTGAAAAATACTACCACTTCTGATAGATCTGACCAATCTTTCTGAATGTCAGTTTTAAAACTTAAAAAACAATTCAATTGGTATCTGGAAAGTAGATTTCTGAAAAGTCAAGGCAGTAAGTTCTTCAGAAAATATTTAAGTCTCAGTAACAGGGAAGCTCTTGATTTTCTTTGGATTTGAAGCAACTATTGTAAAATAAATGGATTGTTCACAAGATTTTTGAGCATTTCTTTTTCTGTATTTTCTTATATTGTATTATGCTTGCCTGAAAACTTGATAACTTGTTCAGATTGCAGAACCTCATTGCTATTCTCTTTCAGGGATGGAAATGCATTTCTCTCAGTAAGTAAAATAGTCTATAGCAAAAAGGTTTGTCCCCTTTGAATATGATTCACTATCATCCTCTCTCCAAAATCTATGAAAATTCAAATAGAAAGATATTATTCTTTTAAGCGATGACATAATTCATACTCATAATTACATATATTACATTTGAAACCTGCTTATTTTTCTGCATCCTAGAATGAAAATAATTTGGTTGGTGCGATCCTTTGTGATCTCTAATACTATTCATTTAAGCTGGTCTTTAGTTATAAAATTTCTCTATGCTTCCTTTTTTCTAAAGTTCCAAATAACCAAAAGTTTTCAGGGAATAGGAAGATGCCATTACGTATAGATAGATAGCATATCACAAAGACCAAATAACAATACAAAGAAACTTAGATTACTGATTTTCCTCTCAAGTAAGTATTCACCTAATTTTATTTGAAGACTTTAATTTAGCAATGCTGCATACACATCAGACACTCGATTAAACCTTGTTCAATAAATGAATGAACTCCAAATAAAACTTGCATTTAATTTTTTTAGTTTAGTTTATTTAATGTGATATTAACGTATTTTACTATATCATTTTACTATGTCCAGATAATTTTATTACTTTGTCAAGGAGAATTTTTTCATAATCAATTTATTTTATAATGCACAGATTATGAAGTAACCATACTTGAAAGATCTTACATAAATAGCAATGAATATTAAAAAAAAATCATCACTTTCCACAAAACATGTTTTAAACTAATTCAAATTGTTTCCTTAAAATTTTAATATTTCTTTAAGTTACTAACTCAAAACTTTTTTGGTACCTAAAGACTAAATTAGGCAATATTTCTGGTATCTCTAAGGCTCATAATAATAAAAGTTTATGATACTAATACTATAGAATAATGTTATATTTAGGAAGGAACCCTTATATTTAGCTTGTATTAAAAGAGAAAGGTAACATACATCTAGGGGATATATCAATTATTTTCTATTCATAGATAAAGTGTGTTGCAAAATATTATTCAATATTACATCTACTTAAATATCATTTTGTTTCAGTGATATTGTTATACATAGCCTTTATGTCAATAATGTTATATTATATATTCCTATTAATGTTCCTATTAATTAATTTTAACATTTAAAATTTCAGAACGAACATACTTTTCTCCAGAAAAAAGTTTACCAGATTACTTACTTCATTGAACGTAATTATTTTATACTTTAAGAAAGTATAATTATTTTATGGTTTAATATGATCTTAAAGATAATACAGCTCAACTCCTGTTCTTTCGTTTCCCTTTCTTGTACTCACATTATACATGGATATTGAGGATGGATGAAATTATGTGTGTTAAAGGTCATGCTATTATTATTGACAAGGAGACAACCAAAATATCTGACCTGCAATTTGTGTGTTTTTGCCCACTACACCATTCTATTTCTTCCCAAATTTGGGGTTTTTAAATGGCAATGACTTATGGTGAATCCAAGTCTTCTAAGCCACATTTTCCATTAGTTCCTTTTAATCTGTGCATGAGTAATATGACTAGCAAATCTGGTTGAGATAAGGGACATTCACAAAGTTCAAGGGACATGTTCAAGACTGTGCATATACTTAGCATAAGAGCCAGGATCATAAATCAAACGTAAGACTCTATAGGCAGTACATCTTTCACTATGTCTCACAGCTTTTGGTCTAAACATGCATTCAAGCCAGAGCATATTACCATGCTGGGGGAAAGGCGAGGGTAGTTATGGCCAAAATATGTAAATGAGCACCTGCTGAAGACCACCAGAGCCATCTGCTGCTTGGATTCTCATATTCATTTGCCAACCTCTTAATGCTAGCTTTTTCTCTCAGTTTTTCAGAATATGAAGAGAGGGCCACATTCTGTACAGATTTTAAGGCATTAACAATCATTGAGATTACCTCATAATGAGCTTGTTGAAGAAGGATCCGCTTGATTTAGTGTAGTAGGGTCGGTCCCAAACTGCTTGAAGACTCTGTGGGTCATTCTTAGAATGCAGCTTACAAGAAGACTTAAAGTTGGCCTTATGGATTCTCAGCCATTCATTCCAGTATTTGTTTCAGCATTGGCCATAATTCTTGATTTATGATTCTAGGAAACTTTACAATCTAAATTTTCAATTCAAATCAGTGTACTCACTAAATACTTCTCCTAGTCTTATCAGCATCTGTGAAAAAGTCCTTTAGAAGATCATTCACTTGATATTAATATTATAAAAATAAAGCAGAGTCAGATGGAAAATTGGAAATACACAGAAAAGAAAAAACACAGAAAAAAGAATAAAAGACACAAGGAATAACAGACATGACTGTTCAGTTTAGGTATTTATTTTTCATTATGAGTGTATTTATAATTTATATGTAAATTTTAAAGTATAAGTAATATCACATCAATGTTATTTACATATATTCAAAACATAGTTAGTTACATCATCTCTGGTGTACGAATTTTACCATTTAGCAATATGGCATTAAAAATGTATCCTTCCATCCAGTATTGTTCTTCAGCATTGTTTAAAACAGTTTCATAGTGTTTTGTGATGCATAGTGAATCATGATTGATTTAAACATTGCCTTTTTTTTTTTTTTAAACATTGCCCTTTTAAGACTTAGGTTGCTAACAATATCTTTGTTCATATTAACTTCTGTGAAAATCATTGCATATATATCTAATAATTTCTGTAGGAAAATCTTTAGGAATCTTTAGAAAAAAGTGGATATTGCTATGTCAAAGAGTATGAAATTTACTCCTAACAGATAAAGACTTTTTATGGTGAGACTTTCGAGATGACTTCATTATCCTTTTTTTTTTTTTTAAAGATTTTATTTTTTTATTGAGAGCGAGCATGAGTGAGAGAGAACAGATGCAGAGTGGCAGAGGGAGAGGGAGAAGCACCCTTCCTGTTGGCTGAGCAGAGAGCCCAACAGGGGCCTCATAATCATGACCTGAGCTGAAGGCAGGTGCTGAACCAACGTAGCCACCCAGGCACCCCTCACCTGCTCACCAGAGCTTCTACTCTTAAACATTTACTGTGTGCTGAGTTCGCATTACATGGATTTTCTTTTTTATTTTATACAACAAAATCCTTGCTGTTTACTATTATTATGCACAATTTACCAATTGGGTAGAATATAACTCAAATTTTAATTTATTATGTTTTAACCTGCTTGATCATGTCAGAGGTATGTATCCTTATGTTTTACATAGCTGGCTTTATGTGCCTTTACTTACTACTGTTAATATTCCCATGTGCTTCAAAGATCTTTTATTTTTCTAATGTAGAAAGGAGCAAGTTAGAAAACCACCCTGTTATCTCCCTCATGCACTTGTGACAAAGACCTTCCTTCAATCAAATCGTGGATACAACTGCTTCCTACCATTCTTTTCATCATTCTCTCGGGCCATTATTTGCAAGTCAAGTGGGTAATTCATAGGTGTGTGCTGATTAAGAACCACTGCATGGAGTCATTCTTTCTTTGAATTAGACACCAACAAACAGAACTGACTTCTAAAATAATTGATGAGAATTAATTTTACTACCAAATAGAGATACTATAGAGGAGAATTTGGAGAATGATTAAGAAGTGCCTATAATGAAAATCGTCATACTACATATTACATTACATGTAATGTTATACATCCCATATTCAAGACTATGTTAACAACAAACTTTTTGGTAATGAATTATAATAGCTTAACTGGTAATTCTTTTTTGACTCATGATACAGAATTAAGCAGAAAAGGACTTCTGAAAATATGGTATTTCAATATTAAATCATTTTATGCAAATCATTTCACTCTATTTACTTTTTATACTTCTAGATAGGTATTTAATTCTCCTGTGTTGGTATGTCAGGTTACATGTCTATGCTTGTCAATGGGTAATAATAAACATTTATTAGTGACTTACTTACCAATAATAATGCTTTAACCAGAATAACTCAATATGTTGTTCTCTCTATACAAGGATCAATAAAATTGTAAAATAGATGCAATAAACCAGATTCTTAAATATATACTAAATTAAGAAAAATAGTTAAGTGAATTTAACATTCTCAAGAGTATTATTTGCTTATAATTTCAAAAAATTACCACTTTTTTACTGTAATTTGAAAGACAGCTAAATAAAATTTTAGTCACCTCTCTTGAGAATTCATTTTTAATTATCATGCTTCTCTAATTAAAAATAAAAATAGCTTTGTAGCTCTTAGACCCATAGTTATATTTTGTGGTTTACAATGTTATTTCACTACAAAGAACACTTTTCGGGGCGCCTGGGTGGCTCAGTGAGTTAAAGCCTCTGCCCTCGGCTCAGGTCATGATACCAGGGTCCTGGAATCGAGCCCCGCATTGGGCTCTCTGCTCAGCGGGGAGCCTGCTTCCCTTCCTCTCTCTGCCTGCCTCTCTGCTTACCTGTGATCTCTGTCTGTTAAATAAATAAAATCTTAAAAAAAAAAAGAACACTTTTCAAATTATTTTCAATGCTTTCAATACTCTAAGCTTTTAATAAGAGTAGTTTTTAGTTTGATTATCTAGATTTGTTAACCAACTGTCTCTGAAAATGTAACAAAAAGCTTCCATGAGCTTGGAGAGGAAGAACATGCTGGCCAAGCAATTTATCACTTAGTCTCACAAGCCAAAAACACTTTGGCCTCCGTTAAAGCACTTTTGAGAGCTACAGTAGTTCCCCCTTATCCTCAGGGCATCCATTTTACACCCCCAATGGATGCCTGAAACTGCAGATAACACCAAACCCTATATATACTATGTTTTTTCCTAACCATGATAAAGTTTCATTTGTAAATTAAGCATAGTAAGATATTAACAATAATAAGAATATAGAACAATTATAACAATATAATAAGAGTTATATGAATGTGGTCTCTCTCTTTCTCAAAATATCTTTTTTTAAAAGATTTTATTTATTCACTTTAGAGATATAAAGACAGCGCAAGCAAGGGGAAGAGCAGAGGCAGAGTAACAAGCAGACTCTGGGCTGAGCAGAGAGCCCCACATGGTTCTCCATCCCACAACCCTGAGATCATGACCTGAGCTGAAATCAAGAGTCAGAAGCTTAACCTACTGAGTCACCCAGGTATTCCTCTCAAAATACCATATTGTACTGTACTCATCTTTCTTCTTATGATGTGAGATGATAAAGTGCCTACATCATGATAAAAAATGAGATCAATGACATAGGCATCAAGACATAATGTTAGGCTACTACTCACCTTCTGCCCACTTGTCAGAAGGAGGATCATCTTGACTGTAGGTAACTGAACCCACAGAAAGTGAAAATGTGGAGTAGGGGGGGAACTCCTGTACATTGAAAACAACCAGTTTGTTAGTGTCATGGGTGTAGAAATTCCATCTTTTTTTTTTTTTTGAAGATTTTACTTATTTATTTGATACAGAGAGAATGAGATCACAAGTACGCAGAGCAGCAGGCAGAGAGAGCGGGGGAAGCAGGCTCCCCACCGAGCAGAGAGCCCAGTACGGGGCTTGATCCCAGGACCCCGAGATCATGACCTGAGCCAAAGGCAGAAGCCCAACCCACTAAGCCACCCAGGTGCCCCTAGAAATTCCATCTTTTAATTATGAAGTTTAATTTTGGTTTTCCCAAGAATTTAGCAAAATTTCCAGTTTGATCAGCTACCTTTTTATTGTGGAGTGACTTAATCTCCCCTTCTCTCTTTGAAATATTCCTGCTAAGAATTAGCATGTACCAACAAACATGATGGCCTCATTTCTTTCCCTAAGCCAGTTTTTCATTAGCTTTGTAGAAATCCAAACAAATTTTATTTTTACCTTTTATTATATGTGCCATTCATACATTTTTAGTTTAGTACTGAAAACCCAGGGGTACCACTTTATTTTCCACATTACTGATTTTTTATTGTACCTAATTCATCTGCAGATTTTGGACCATGCAAAATGGCTTATCGGAGTTGAGATCAGCATGCATTCTACTGAAGCTTACTGGGTTTGAAGCATCAGCTATCCAAGATCTCTCTCATGGAACATCAGCTGTGGGCCCTATATTTTCATTTTCCCAACAGTTGGTGTAGTCATGGAGAATCACAGATAACTAAGCTGGAAGAGATTTTTAAAAATCATTTGGTTCCAACCATTTGTGCTATATTCCAATGTAACTCTTCCCAATTGCCATTAAACCACACTTCTAAATTCTCCTGTTCTATTGATCTTTCTAGTGAAATAGTTCTTGCATGTTGCCAACCTATTGGTAATTTTCATCTTTATCCTACTCCATTTCTCAGCAGCATTAGACAATAAATCATAATAGCTTTCTTGAACCACTCTCTTGACTTCGTTGCCATGACAGTGGCTGCTGCTTCTCATCTTACTTTTCTGGTTCCTTCTTTGACACCTGATTTCTAAACATCCTCTGTGCCCCAGGGATCAGACTTAAGCCCTTTTCTCTTTTTTCCATAGATAATTTCATCTTGTCCTGTGCTCTAAATACCATTTAGATTCTGTTGACTCTCAAATTTATATCTTTAGCGCTGAATATCCAGGAAATCCAGATCATGTGGTATGTCCATTTCCATCAATCAATCCAGACAGCTAATAGGCATCTGAAATTTTACATGTACAAAGAAACCAATTGGTTCCCACAATCCTTTCCCTTGCACTGTGAACTTACGCAGGCCACACAGACAATGGCAACCTCGGAATTCTTTATTTTCCCTTCAATCCCATGTGAAAATGCATCAGCCAAACATGTTAATGTTATTAGCAAAACTAATCCAAAATTTTAGTGGATTTATTATGTGTAAATTACCCCCTAAGTATATCTCCAAAGAAAAGCCACATGACCCTCTTTCTCTAGGCCATGAGAAATAAATGGTGAGTGGCATGGCAACATCTTCCAGAAATGAATTGTGGAGAATTGTTTTCTCTAATGTAGAGATACTCATGGTCTTACTTGCTGATAGAAATGAAAATATCAACCAAAAAATATCAAAGCTACTACTATTCACTAAGGACACAGAAGTTAAGGAAAAATCAACAAAATGGGTTTTTGTCATGAGAGACACTACAGATGAAAAGGACTCCCTGACTACTTTTTTTTTTTTTTTTTAAGACTGACTGATTGATTGATTTGACACAGAGAGAGAGAAAGCATGCAGGAGGAGGCAGAGGGAGAAGCTGACTCCCTGCTGAGCAGGGAGCCTGATGTGGGGCTCCATCCCAGGACCCTGGGATCATGACCAGAGCCAGAGGCAAATGCTTAAGGGACTGAACCACCCAGGCACCTCAACAACTCCCTGATTTCTATGAGAATCTTCACACCCCAAGGTTGTAGAGAATAAGGAAAAATAAACTAACAGAAACAAACTGAGTATGGGTTGCTCAATAAAAAGAAGCATTGATGTGGATTATCTAATTTAGGAACTTGGTGATAGCTAATGATGGGATTATGACTGAAATAAATGGGCAGCTCCTTGAATAAGGGAAATGCTGCGACAATAATAAGTATGTCCTATGAATTTCTATCCTAGTCTTCTGTATAGGGACCTGTGGTCATTTCCACAGAAACTCTATGATGGGAAAGAAAAATACTAAAAATTCTTGGTGACTTTGGACCCTGGATTTCACCTTGAATGAGCAGAAATGCCACAAAAGTGCTCTTTTAGAACAGGAGATTGTAGAGATAAGGTAATAAAGTGAGTGCTGATCTTAGTTCAAATATATATTAAACCTAGTATTCATTCCTGTGCTATACTGAATGTTTCAGTTTGAGTCCCAAGGGCAAACAGCACACTCAAATTAGTATAATTCTAGTTTTTATTTATTTGTTTTTAAACAAAGGGGCTAAATTCAAAGGCATACAAAGGTTGGAGAGGAACACAAAGGGAGGGAAACATGGGCTAACAACAGTGCAGTTTTTACCATCTCTAGGCCCAAAGGGATACGGGGAAGGAGGGATTCCCAGAAACTGAAGGTAAGATGGAAGTTTAGACAAAGCTTAGAGAAGAGCAACTTTCTATCAAGGGATATAGCTAGCGTGATTCGAACTCACAGAGGGGGAACCAGAAAAAGAAATACTCTGACTTTACGCCTTTGCAAAGAATCATTAGCTAAAACCAACCAGACATCAGAAGACTCAAAATTTCATGATGTGATTCATACAGGTCAGCCTCCTGGGAAGAGATCAGGATAGAAAAGGATGGAAAGTGAATCTGAAGGGGCAATATCAGGCACAGTCCAAAACTGACAGATTCTTCACGTTGGTCCCCTGACTCAAAAAGAAAGGGAAAATGTGAAGCAAGGGAAGATTCTAGAGATTTTTTTCTTCACAAAAACAATATATCAAAGGTAATATTCGTACTTTAAAGTTGTAGTTTTGGTGATTCTTATCACATTCTTATTTAACCATCTGGCTTGGCAGGGGCAGAAGTTAGATGCATTTTGGAGAATATTAATAGATTACCATAAGGTAGTCAACTGTTGGTCCAATTATGCTTTTCTCACTGAAGATTTTATTTCTACCTCTGGTGAATGGTAAGCAGATATTAACCTTAAAAATGACGTTTTGTCTTACCCAACGTAGTTGAAAACTCCAGAAATTTGATTACACTGAGCAGGGATAGTAATACAAATTCATAGTATTGTCTCAAGGATTTATGCCAAATAGAGCCAACAGCCTGCGGAATCTTGATTATCTTATCATGCTATAGGTTATCACTCACCTACTGATGACATTAAGCTGACAAGACTTAGAAGCCAGAGTTTGTTTGTGCCTCCAAAGCCCACATAGGAGAAGTACGTACCCAATGAAGGGTGGGAAATTCAAGGAAATACAAACTCCTGAAATGTCACTGAAGCTTTTGGAGGATCAATGAGTAGAGTAGCTGTCAACACCAAGGGACAAGTTGCTTCATCATAGATCACTTACTTTAAGAAAGACACACAATGCTTATTAGACTACTTACTATTTTGATGATGGAGTATAGCTTTGTGTAATTCAAAAAGGCAAAAATTCAGTATATAAATATGAAAGTGTGCATTTATCAATATTTTGAGGTAGAACGAAGGCTTTCTTTGTGCAAAAAAAATGGGCTTTGTTTTTCTTTGCTTAGATTATCATTTTCTTTTTTATAACCATATTTAAGCTTTTCTAAACTGGGTGAGAACTTGGAAACACTTGCAAAACAATTTAAGTGCAGAGATCTTTACAGACATAGATTTCCCCCAGTTTTTATTGTCTCATACCTAATTGATCATAATTTTAAAGAATTTAATTTTATTAAGTATTTCCATACATTTAACTTAGTTTTTTTCTTTTAAAGATTTTATTTACTTATTTGACATAGAGAGAGATAGCAAGAGAGGGACTACAAGTTGTGGGGGGTGTGATGTGAGAGGGAGAAGTAGTCTTCCCATTGAGCAGAAAGCCTGATGCAGGGCTGGATCCCAGGACCCTAGGATCATGACCTGAGCTGAAGACAGATGCTTAAGGTGCCCCCATTTAACTTAGTTTTTCAAGAATCAACTTTCTTTTCACATTCATATTTCACTTAGTTTATATAATAATTAACAAGCAATTTTCGATAGAAGCACTATATACACAAATAGGTATCAGAATAAGTACAATGGAATTTCGGCAAGCATATAACAACTCAGTTAGTAGACATAAAAGTGCATATATAAAAGCATTTGTTAATTTTGCAAATAGGTAGAAGTTAAGTGGAGATAGGTTAACCAAGACCAAGAGAAGGGGAGTGTGTAAGCAGCTTTACTGCTTAACCCTTATAGTCCAATAGATTCAATGGTGCTGAAATTGTTTGTGGCAGATTGGAATACTCTATGGCTCTTAAAGAACCCCATATTTTAGTGGTCCAACCAACTACCTAGTGGCAGGCTAATTACATTGAACAGCTTCTCTCATTCTCATGAGAATAGATATTTATTTTGGAATTAAAAAAACACCCAAAACAAATAGACTTACTAATACCATTGTGCATATGGGGAAAACATTAAGTGTTGACCTAGGCTATTTAATAGAAAATAAGATATTGACACACAGTAGGAACAGAAAGGAGTATGAACAAAACCCAACTGGTTCCCTGGGGAACCTCATGGTATTTGACCCAGTGATAGATGTAAGAATAGATAAGATGGCTAGGAGAGTGTAAACATATATTGGATGTATAAAGGTTTTACTTACTCTTTAACTTTGGTAGAAGCTAAAGTGGAGTATATAACCCTACCCCTCGCTTTTTGGCAGCTAAACATAGACCAGATCTAGTTCAGCTGTAGAGATGCTTTAGTTTCAGATATTTAACTTTGATACTGCTGGGGAGGAAAAATTTTCTTGTACCCTTCAAAGATTCTTCCAGCTAGTTTGAGGATTAATTTGACAGGAGACAGAAAAACAGGAGAAAATAAAATTTAATTTTCTATATACAGGAACCCCATATACATGAGAGATTCAAAGACTGAAAGGTAAAATGAGGCATATGTGCCATCCTGAGTTAAGGAATGTCATAGGGCCGTGGGGATTCAAAGGGGAGGAGGGCAATTCACAGGGCACTGTGAATTCACAGAGCATTGAAGAACAAATAATTTGGTAATTAGCTGTTTGCTCAGCCATATATATGGGCCACTCAGTTAAAATATATCTCTAGTAATAATTTATTCTGGGAAAGACACTCAGTTTAGATTTTTCTATATAGTTAAGAGAGGGGCAAAAGTTTCTCTCAAGCTTACAGGGTCTCAGTTGCCTTCAGCTCAATAGTACACCTACTATTGCAAAAATAGCTTAAGGCATACTTTTTTTTTTTTTCTTATTGATTTTAATTCAGCCTAGTATTTATTGAGCTACTACAGCTCAAAGTAGTCCACATGCTGAAGTGGCACATTTTGGGAATACTTGCACTGAACCCATTCAAGGTTATGAGGTAAAGGCAGGGGTACTTGTTAATGTTTATTTTTGTGGTGATGCTCAGCACTTGTGAGGCCAATGGTATGGCAGCAGTGGTTCAATCATTGCTGCAGTGAGTAGCAGAAAGTCAGCAAACATCTAATTGCCGTGCTCCTTGACCTCCCATGGCCTTTACTTATTTCTAAGCTTGCTTATTTGCATACCAGCTGATTCTTTGGGCTTTCTGTAAATCCTTTTATAAATTCCTCCTCTGAAATAGTGGGCCAAAGCTAGATTCTTTTG